CCTTTCCAACAAGTCAGTTCATCAAATTTCTGCCCTGGTCAACCATTGACTTCCTGTAAAATAAAAAAAAGACATGCTTTTATTGTCACATAAACCAGATAGGTGCAGTGAAACGTGTTGTTTTACAGAATCAGCCGTAGAAGTACGTCACCCCTGTAGCAAATTAGGGTTACGTGCCTTGCTCAAGGGCACATCAACAGTTGTTTTACTTTGTCAGCACAGTTATTTGAACCAGCAACCTTTTGGTTACTGGCCCAACACTCTAACCGCTAGGCTACCCGCCTTCTTCATTTCAGTATGTAATAGTTATGTCATGGCCGTTCTACTGTTAACACGCGTCAGTGTGGAAATTATGTAAAGGGTGTGGTGAAGTGAGGTCAGTTTCCCATAATTGTTACGCAATCCTTTGGCAATCCATGACACGGGAGGGAATCCAATGTGTTCCAATCCTCACAGTATGGTTCATGGGATAACAGTCATTGTGTACTTATCAGTAACTAAGGAGAGAGGGGAAAAGGCTAAAGTAGTGTAAGCCAACAGTATGGGGCCAAATTTGAATTGTTATACTCTAAGGGGTGGATCTCTCCCAGTACTTGGTTGTTTTTCCTTGGAAATCCATTTAGTTCTCACTGTATGCTGTCTTTCATCCTATCCACTCCCACCCCCCAAACACATTCCTCCAGAAAGATGAATATATGAATGTCATATCACCATTAAATGACTGCGTAGGCACGAGTGGGCCTGGGTGGGTGCAGGCCCACCCACTGGAAAGCCCCCCCAATCAGTGTTCAGTGTTCCAAACAGGACATTATTTGTTCTTTTACCTAAGTACAGTACATGACTTGGGCAGGAGCTCACTGGAACCAGCACCTCAACATTTATTCTGATTGAGTTCCTGCACCTCCTATAGAATATTAGTGCAATAGTATTGAGGAGCTCCTGCACATAAATATAAATGGTACCTGCACCCAAAATGAGTCCTGGAACCTATTTCAATCCAAGTCAAGCACTTTCCTAAACATGCATACACCATCAGATATAATTCATAGCAAGCAGTAAGGAGGGGGTGGGTGGGAGAATGAAAGGGATATATACTGGCAATAATAATAATACATTTTATTTGGCAGATGCCTTTCAGGACACTCAAGGACATCTTACATCAAGTCTTACATAAAATATATCATTTAGGCCTATGTTATGAATTTGAATTATGCTTGATTATTTACTGGGAAAAAAACAATAACAACAAATTGTAAAAAAAAAAAATCATCTTATCAATTTCAAAATAATGGGCAGGTTCTGGCACTTGTCACTTCACGCTGATACCATGTGCAGTAAACAGTAGCTATCACTGTGTAGGCTAGGCTACACTGTGTAGGCTAGTTACCATTTTCTAGCTAGCTAAGACTCACTAGCCAACTTGGCTAGCAAAAACAAGTAAAATGGCTAAACATAGCTCACTGTTAAAACATTTTTTCAAGAGACCGTGTATAGAAGAGGATGTTGGAGAATTTGCCATGAAGGGCCTCCAGTCCCTCTCTATTTCAATCACTGATTACATTGATCTAATAAAGGGCCTTAAAGACAGTTTCAGTACATTCAGAGACAATGATCAGCACTACAATGCTGTTTTCTCTGCTACCGGATGGCAAGCGGTACCGGAGCGTCAAGTCTAGGTCCAAAAGGCTCCTTCTACCCCCAAGCCATAAGACTGCTGAACAATTAATAAAATGGCCACCCGGACTATTTGCATTGACCCCTCTATGCATAGTCAATATATCCCTACCTACATGTACAAATCACCTCGACTAACCTGTACCCCCGCACATTGACTCGGTACCGGTACCCCCTGTATATAGCCTCATTATTTTTTTAAATTTTTTTTTACTTTAGTTTATTTAGTAAATATTTTCTTAACTCTATTTTCTTAAAACTGCATTGTTGGTTAAGGGCTTGTAAGTAAGCATTTCATGGTAAGGTCTACACCTGTTGTATTCAGCGCATGTGACGAATACAATTTGATTTGATTTGATTTATGAAACACTTTCAGAAATCATGAAACACGCTTCACTTCGACTCGAACTTAATTTAATTGGAAATATAACTTTACCCTATGCTTCTCCACCCATGCACTATAGTTAGGCCCCTATAGGCATTTAATTGATATCACACAATACAATGTAGGTGCACTTGATCTCCCGCGCTCAGCAGAGAATTTCACTCGGCTTGCATTTTGACTCATAAAGTGATCTCGACTAAGAAAAGGTTGGTGACCACTGTTCTAGTCTATATAGGCTATGGCTGCCTAGTGTGATTATTACTGTTATATCAGGGCATTATGTTCTAGTCTCATAGTCTATTAATTATAGGCCTATGGTTTATTATGTTTAGGTCTATGTGAGTCCTATGTTATAACGCAAGAGTCATGGTAGCTGGTAGCTTAGTGGGTAAGAGCGTTGTGCCAGTAACCGAAAGGTCGCTGGTTCTAATCCCCGAGCCGACTAGGTGAAAAATCTGTCGATGTGCCCTTGAGCAAGGCACTTAACCCTAATTGCTCCTGTAAGTCACTCTGGATAAGAGCGTCTGCTAAATGACCAAAAAATAAAAAATGGATTTATGTAAGCCTACAAGACTATTTGGTCTGTAATGCTAAATCACACGTTAGAAGGTTTGTTGTGTGCGATCGATTACAGTAGGGTATATGGTAGGTTTTTATGATGATTTGAGTGCCCAAATTTTGGACCATCTACATTTTTGCTGGCCCTGCCATCAACTGATTTCTGCCTACATTACTGAAGGACAGTTGAAGCTTGTTGCACAAAAAGAGACTCTTTATCTTACATCACCGCAATTTTTCAGAAGTTTTGAATATGTTTGAAATAGGATAGTATGTATATATACAGCACCAGTCAAAGGACTGGACACACCTACTCATTCAAGGGTTTTTCTTTATTTTTACTATTTTCTACATTGTAGAATAATAGTGAAGATATCAACACTATGAAATAACACATATGGAATCATGTAGTAACCAAAAAAGTGTTAAACAAATCAAAATATATTTTAGATTTGAGATTCTTCAAATAGCCACCCTTTGCCTTGATGACAGCTTGGCACACTCTTGGCATTCTCTAAACCAGCTTCACCTGGAATGCTTTTCCAACAGTCTTGAAGGAGTTCCCACATATGCTGAGCACTTGTTGGCTGCTTTTCCTTCACTCTGCGGTCCGACTCATCCCAAACCATCTCAATTGGGTTGAGGTCGGGGGATTGTGGAGGCCAGGTCATCTGATGCAGCACTCTATCACTCTCCTTCTTGGTAAAATAGCCCTTACACAGCCTGGAGGTGTGTTGGGTCATTGTCCTGTTGAAAAACAAATGATAGTCCCACTAAGCCCAAACCAGATGGGATGGCGTATCACTGCAGAATGCTGTGGTAGCCATGCTGGTTAAGTGTGCCTTGAATTCTAAATAATCACAGACAGTGTCACCAGCAAAGCACCCCCACACCATAACACCTCCTCCTCCATGCTTTACGGTGGGAAATACACAATGCGGAGATCATCCGTTCACCCACACTGTGTCTCACAAAGCCACGGCGGTTGGTACCAAAAATCTCCAATTTGGACTCCAGATCAAAAGACACATTTCCACCGGTCTAATGTCCATTGCTCGTGTTTCTTGGCCCAAGCAAGTCTCTTCTTATTATTGGCGTCCTTTAGTAGTGGTTTCTTTGCAGCAATTCGACCATGAAGGCCTGATTCACACAGTCTCCTCTGAACAGTTGATGTTGAGATGTGTCTGTTACTTGAACTCTGTGAAGCATTTATTTGGGCTGCAATTTCTGAGGTTGGTAACTCTAATGAACTTATCCTCTGCAGCAGATGTAACTCTGGGTCTTCCATTCCTGTGGCGGTCCTCATGAGAGCCAGTTTCATCATAGCGCTTGATGGTTTTTGCAACTGCACTTGAAGAAACTTTCAAAGTTCTTGAAATCTTCAGTATATGATTGATCTTCATGTCTTAAAGTAATGATGGACTGTTGTTTCTCTTTGCTTATTTGAGCTGTTCTTGCCATAATATGGACTTGGTCTTTTACCAAATAGGGCTATCTTCTGTATACCACCCCTACCTTGTCACAACACAACTGATTGGCTCAAACGCATTAAGAAGGAAAGAAATTGCACAAATTAACTTTTAAGAAGGCACACCTGTTAATTGAAATGCATTCCAGGTGATTATCTCATGAAGCTGGTTGAGAGAATGCCAAGAGTGTGCATTAAGGCAAAGGGTGGCTATTTGAAGAATCTCAAATATATAATAAATTTTGATTTGTTTAACACTTTTTTGATTACTACATGATTCCATATGTGTTATTTCATAGTGCTGATGTCTTCACTATTATTCTACAATGTAAAAAATAGTAAAAATAAAGAAAAACCCTTGAATGAGTTGGTGTGTCAGAACTTTTGACTGGTAGTGTACATAGGTTAAATGGAATTAATGAAACATTTTTATGAGGGGGATGGGTTGTCTGTCACCACCGGGGCGGAGCGAAGTGATGACGTATGGTAAACGTTTAGCCATGTAGAGAATCCGCGATCCTTCTTTGCATTGCATTGGACTGCATTGGAGTAGGCTGGCTAACCTGGATAGAGAGGGATGGTAGTGGCAGGATAGCTATTCTCATCGGATTTAATACACCCAATTCTTGGAAATATTTCTTATACACTTACATTTTTATTTGTAATACATTGATGTGTATTTGGTGATAGCCTAGATTTCTCATGAAGGTAGGCTGCTTTGTTATTAATATATTCCCGCTGTTGCATTTCGACTGTGCACAGCTCAGCTCCCTGTGAGTCTTCGGTCTGTCGTTACAGGCTATAGATAGTAGCCTATCTACCGTTTATAGCCAGTAATAAAAACACGTCTACCTTGACATCTCAACTTGACCCACCGATCTGATTTCTGGACTGTCTCATCACGGAATTCACGAGATGGACGAAGACAATCACGGTAAGACGCACGATGATGATTCAATCACCGTCTCTCTTTCCCTCTCTCTGTTCCATCATCTGCTGTGGTGTGTACATGGACTGATAGGGGCTATATGTTATGCGCCGTAAAGCATGAGTCGAGGCATACAACTGTAACCACCAATGCATGCATTTAATCATCAGCAATGTATCTTTATTTTCCTTCAACACTAAGGTATTAAAGAAATGCAACGGTATTTTTATCAACTGTTGTCAGACATGGGGTTACATCTGGGGTAGGGTATAAAGAGACCTAGTGGAGGATGGTTACTGGTCATATTTCTTAATCATCAAGTGGGACAATAAATGATGATTATCCATCATGTAAGAGGGTATATAGTAATTGACCTCAGTGTGAGGAATGCATGGAAACGCATGCAGCAATGTTTAGTGCTTCTTCGACAAAATTCGTGTGTGTTTAATGTTGCGCTGAGTCGCTTTGAAGTTTGTGCTGGAGCTCTAGCTAGGCTACGCTTCTTTCCATTATAAAGCAGTTATATTGAAACAGCCGCTCAAGGCCCTGGACGGGTGAAAAAGATAAGATAAAGGTATATTTTTTAAAACCAGGAAAGCCGACTTTTGCGGTTGGAAGGCCTTCAAAACAGTCTCATTAATTACATCCTTCAGAGTGGTATCCGTTCCAAATGGTTTTATTTAAATGACAGTGCTAAACTACAGCCTGTGGCATCCAATAGTCCTACTGCTTGCATGATGCAAGAGAAGACACACACAATATAGTTTGATAACCCCCCCCCCCCCCCCCCCCCACACACACACACAGTATAGTTTGATAACCCCCCCCCCCCCCCCACACACACACACACACACACACACTTACACAATCTCACACACACACAAACACCAAATCTTCCAACCCCATCTCAAGGCAGGGGGCGAAGGCCATGTAAATGTGTTGTAAACATTTGTCTTGAGAAGAGAAGCAGTTAAACTGTGAGAGATTAGCAGATGCTGAAGAGGGGACCCTCTACATATCTCACCCCTCCTCAGCCCACACTGGTCCATCCTGTTGCTGTAGCATTAACCCTTTTCATGCTCTACATAACCCCTGTCTCAATAGATTTGTCCCTGGTTAAATGAAGGTTTAAGGGCGGAAGGTAGCCTAGCGGTTAAGAGCGTTGGTTCGAATCCCGGGCTGACAAGGTGAAAATGTGTCAATGTGCCCTTGAGCTAGACACTTAACCCTAGTTGCTCTGGATAAGAGCGTATAGTAAAATGTGTGTGTGCTCAAACCATACTGTACACTATGTTGGCATGCTAAATTTACCCCTGATAGTCAGAGTAGCGCTGGGTAAAATGCCTTTTTAATTCAAGCCAAAACCCTTCAACTCAAATCAGTGCAGCGCAGTGTAACGCTTCATAAAGTCATGGAGCTGTACTATACTGTGCAGCATATGGTCAAAGTTGGGGTATAATTTGTTCCACCTCCATTTACTGCCTGCTAACAAGGAGAGGAAAAAGGCCATGATATAGGATAAGGTAATGTTCTTATATGGGCTGATAGTGAGCATGCATACTGCCTCTCATAGGAGAACAAACCGAGATAATTACACAGAAGAGCACACACAGAAGAACACAACACACACACACACACACTCCGGCACGGTCTGAGAAACTAGGACAGTGAGTAGAGTAGAATATGGAATTAATTAATGCGTGTTTACTCCTACTTCTACACACTTGGCTCACTCCTCTATGCTGTTTACATGCCACAAGACAGACGTCTGCAATCACATTGTGTAAAACAGACCCTAAATCACAAGTGTTGTATGGCACCAAGTCTATTTTATAGTCTCATTGTGTAGTTAGGCTGGTAGAGTGAAAGCAGAAATGAAATACAATGTAGGCCTACAAATTGGCCAGCACTCACTTGATGCTGGTTGTGTGTTTTTAGATCCTCTCGTTCCTCTAGTTTCTGCAGCGATATTTTCAGCTTTGCCTTTGTCAGGAAGGAAAGTGCTCTGTTTGAATGGTGTTTTTACTAATTGCTCTGTTTGAATGGTGTTTTTACTAAGTGCTCTGTTTGAATGGTGTTTTTACTAATTGCTCTGTTTGAATGGTGTTTTTACTAATTGCTCTGTTTGAATGGTGTTTTTACTAATTGCTCTGTTTGAATGGTGTTTTTACTAAGTGCTTTGTTTGAATGGAGTTTTTACTAATTGCTCTGTTTGAATGGTGTCTTTACTAATTGCTCTGTTTGAATGGTGTTTTTACTAATTGCTCTGTTGGAATGGTGTTTTTACTAAATGCTTTGTTGGAATGGTGTTTTTACTAAGTGCTCTGTTGGAATGGTGTTTTTACTAAATGCTCTGTTGGAATGGTGTTTTTACTAAGTGCTCTGTTTGAATGGTGTTTTTACTAAGTGCTCTGTTGGAATGGTGTTTTTACTAAGTGCTCTGTTGGAATGGTGTTTTTACTAAGTGCTCTGTTGGAATGGTGTTTTTACTAAGTGCTGTGTGTCTTGTCAGTGTTTCTTGTGTCGGGATCCTGATAACCGTAGTGACTCCCTCTCTCTTTCAACACCATTTTTTTTATTTGACCGTGGGAAACACCAAATGGGAAACCCCTTTCCTTCCATTCTCTCTGGGCAGAAAGTGTCTGTGTGTTTGTGCATGATTTGTGTGTGTGTGTATTTGTTCTTTGGCAGTGTAGGTTTGCGTTGTTGAGGGGCAGTTGAATCTGTCAATAGGTTTTTCTTATCAGAAATGGGCACCTTGACAGAAATTATTTTTGCAAATGAATACTTTATTATTTTATGTTGAATTCATGGCCATTTTACTGTCAAGTCCTTTGGCTTTCATACTGTATCTTGGGGACTGTAATTACGCCATTTATAAATCTCACTGGGCATGGAAACATACATGTTCTTTGAGAAGAACATCAATACAAACTGCTTGAGTCTTTGGGGTGTTGAAGTTTCATATGAATCCAGACATTAGTGGTTTCCTGCCCTGAATCGACACTATAGGTCTATTTAGTTGGCCAGCAGTCTTTGTTGTGGCGCTAGGATGACGGGTGTGAGGGAACATTAGAGAGTCATTATTGCCATGCCGTGGACGCCTTGTGGCTGGTCTGTAGCTCTAACACTGCCTGGAGGGCCTTCTGGCTTGCACAAAGCATGCAGTAGCTACAGCCATAGGCTATATGGCTACATCAGATACAGCCAGTCAGCTAACTAGCCCCCCTACGCAGCTGTTTCTCTCTCTGCATTCTGGTTTGTCGGAGTAAGTCCTGTTCTCTTTCTCAAGTTTTCTTTAGCATCCTGTGTCTTACTGTCTTCCTTCCCCACTGTATCTTTAAGATGACATATTTCTACTCTGTGTGCCATATGATACATTTTATATTTAAAGCCCAAAATAGGCTTTGACTTGATTCTTTTGAGATTACCAGAATGAGAATATAATCTGTTTTTCCATCCTTAAGGTAGCCTTTATGAGGCCTCCTACCATGTTGCCTTATTGAAACAGCTTAAAAGGAGATTTAGAAAAAAGAATTCAGTTCATTTTGACTGTTAAGATTGACTTTAGTGTATTGTGGGACAACATTGAAGGATTAGGCTAGACAATACACACACTGTTTAAGGGGTGAGGCATCTTTGGCACTGCACAGACTTGGTTTAAGGAGGGATTGAGAGGGACTCTTAAAGGATTCCAGTACTGCTGCCTCGTCTGTAGAGAAACACCACATATGGAATTGATTATGGGGAATACTGAGGGGGCTTCCCAATGTGTTTTCAGTGCCATGGAAGAGAAGGTAGCAGACTAGCACGTACGACTGTCTGGAAGGGTTGGCATGTCCCACAGATGATTTTGTTTGGATGCAGTATATTGCCTTGATTGTTACTGAGTTATGGAATGAGGAAAGAGACAGACAGGGACGGAGTTCAGATAGAGGGGGAGAGAGTAGAAGAGATGTAGAAGAAAAGAGAATGACTGAGAAATAGCAAAAGAGAGCGAGACAGAGACCGTACTTTCCTTGAGTAATATGCATCTTATTTCACTAGTAGGGGAACTAAATAGAAGTAGATCCAGTATTAAGAGGGTAGTTAGAGGCTGGATAGAGGCTGGAGGCTCCAGGGGTTGTGTGCATTTCTTGGCCAGGCTAGGTAAGTGCTGCTTTCTGGTAGAACTGGGCGATATGGACAAAAATCCATATAATGATAAATTGACCGAATTATCACCATAACGATAAATTGAACGATAAGTTTACAACATTAATGTGCACCAGTTACTTTTTTTTACATTACCCTTAAAACTACTACTACTACTTTGAATGTTGTGGCTATCAATTGTCCCGTTAGCAATAGCCTATATTAAGACTTATTTCATTTCAAATGTCACATTCTTCTAGTAAAGGCTACTTATCGTTATTGTCGATATCAGTAAAATGTCCTCGATAAGTGGTTGTTTCGGTCGGTATGGATAATTATCGGTTTATCGTCCCAGCTCCACACTCTGGAGCCCTCAGCCCTGTGGCCCTGAGAACACAAGAATGTAGAACCAGAACACCTATTCAGAATTCACAGGCATTCTAAAAGGAAGAAGTGTGCTGTGCTTGTATTTTCAGAGATTCTAAAAGGAGGTGTGCTTATAGCTAGTAACTACGCAAGATGTACAGGTAGACATCAAAGGTGTGCTTATAGATTGTACAAACGCCCATCCTAACTACACAATATATATCACAGAGATCAATAAACTTCGTAGGTGTTCTGTGACTGTTATTTTGAAGTGCCCTGTGTGTCTTTCAAGCCTCCAACAGGTCAGCCAAAGACAGCGTTGCTCCGCCCGGTCAAAGTAGACAAGCATCAACATCCTGGACCTCCAGGCAACAATCGCCAGGCAGTAGTTTGTCTTCAGTCTTCAGTCACTCAACCCCCATCCAGCTCTCTTATTAGAAGTGGGTGCCAGAAACAGCATCAATCTCATTCCAAGGAGTATCAAATCTACAGAATATGAATGCTCTGGCAGCAGGCATATGGCCGTGGAGTATCAGGCCCTAGTTGATATAAGGCCCCAGCACATCACATCAAATATTTACATTCTAGTGGTGATCCTGAGCAGATGTTGGACATGAGGGGACATGATGTCTGGACAGACCAGGATGGAGGGAGGGACCACCCGGATGGATGGATCACCCCCTAGCAGGGGTCCGCTCCCCGCTCCCTAAAACAGCAGATTAAACAATGCAATCATTGGATGGCAGTTTAGTTTAGCCCCCCAGTACTAGATCCTAGATCTCTCTAAATCCTAGTACTAGATCCTGATCCACAGAGGTAACTAAACCCCAAGATATTACCCTCCAAAATCTTTGCTCTCCTTTCATGCAAGGATGTGAGCTACTGTAGTTACTGGAAAAGAATGGTATAGTTATCGCTCCTGCATAGTCGCATTCATAGATGCACATTTATAGTATTTTATCAGGATCCACAAAGCAGTGAGGTGCAACATACCCAACTATTGAAAAGGCCAAACAGAGGCCGGATCTTACATTCATGAAAATAAAACACTTCCATTAGCTACACTGACTAACATAGAGAATACAGTACACACTCTCATCATAACCCATTGCCCTTTGGCTTGCCCTGTACTAATCATTCCGCACATTCAACTGCCAGGTTGCATCTCCGTACAGCTAAACAAGACTACATATGTTTATTACTGTTACTGTGTCTGTCCGTGTTGTCACTGCCAAAGTAGGTTACAGAAGAGAGAGAAAGAGTGGCTGGCTGGCTGGCTGGCCATTGGAAACAACATCTGTGTGTGCACTGTATACATCCCACTTCCACTGTGGCCGTCAGCCCCATGGTCAGATTGGGATTAAGAGCTGTGGGGGTGGGTGTTAGCGGGATTAAAGCCAGCTGGCAGCACGAGCGTGTGTCTGTGTGTGCTACAGTTTGCATGTACAGTGCTGTGAGAAAGTATTTGCACGCTTTTCTCTATTTTTGCATATTTTTGATACTGAATGTTATCAGATCTTCATCCAAAACCTAATATTAGAACCTGAGTTTACAAAAAAAAGGATACTTATTTTATTTATTTAATTAACAAAGTTATGCACCACCCAATTCCCCTGTGTGAAAAAGTGATTGCCCCCTTACACTCAATAACTGGTTGTGCCACCTTTAGCTGTAATGACTGCAACCAAATGCTTCCTGTAGTTATTGATCAGTCTCTCACATCGCTGTGGAGGAATTTTGGCAAAGCATCCCCAAACCATCCCAATACCACCACAATGCTTGACCGTTGGTATGAGGTTCTTACTGTGGAATGCAGTGTTTGGTTTTCGCCAGACATCATGGGACCCATGTTGTCCAAAAGTTATACTTTTGACTCCTCTGTCCATGGAACATTATTCCAAGAGTGTTGATGATCATCCAGGTGCTTCCAGGTGCTTTTTGACACACTTGAGTCAGCTTGAGTCACACTTGAGTCAGATTACCTCATACCAAAGGTCAAGCATGGTGGTGGTAGTGGGATGGTTTGGGGAGGCTTTGCTGCCTCAGGACCTGGACGACTTGCCTTAATAGAAGAAGCATGAATCCTGCTCTGTATCAGAGAATTCTACAGGAGAATGTCAGGCCAACCGTCAGTGAGCTGAAGCTGAAGCACAGCTGGGTCATGCAGCAAGACAATGATCCAAAACACACAATCAAGTCTACATGAAAATGGTTAAAAAGCACGTTTTGGAATGGCCTAGTCAAAGTCCAGACCTAATCCCAATTGAGATGTTGTGGCAGGACATGAAACGAGCAGTTCATGCTTGAAACCCTACAAAATAAGTATTCTTTTTTTTTGTTATGTGTAAACTCAGGTTCCCTTGATCTAATATTAGGTTTTGGTTGAAGATCTGATAACATTCAGTATCAAAAACATGCAAAAATAGAGAAAATCAGAAAGGGGTCAAATACTTTTTCATGGCCATGTATGTATGTATGTATGTATGTATGTAGGTATGTAGGTATGTAGGTATGTAGGTAGGTAGGTAGGTAGGTAGGTAGGTACAGTTGAAGTCGGAAGTTAACAAACTATAGTTTTGACAAGTCGGTTAGGATATCTACTTTGTGCATGACACAAGTAATTTTTCCAACAATTGTTTACAGACAGATTATTTCACTTATAATTCACTGTATCACAATTCCAGTGGGTCAGAAGTTTACATACACTAAGTTGACTGTGCCTTTAAACAGCTTGGAAAATTCCAGAAAATGATGTCATGGCTTTAGAAGCTTCTGATTAACATCATTTGAGTCAATTGGAGGTGTACCTGTGGATGTATTTCAAGGCCTACCTTCAAACTCAGTGCCTCTTTGCTTGACATCATGGGCAAATCAAAAGAAATCAGCCAAGACCTCAGAAAAATAATTGTAGACCTCCACAAGTCTGCTTCATCCTTGGGAGCAATTTCCAAATGTCTGAAGGTACCACGTTCATCTGTACAAACAATAGTACGCAAGTATAAACACCATGGGACCACGCAGCCATCATACCGCTCAGGAAGGAGACGCGTTCTGTCTCCTAGAGATGAACGTACCTTGGTGCGAAAAGTGCAAATCAATCCCAGAACAACAGCAAAGGACCTTGTGAAGATGCTGGAGGAAACAGCTACAGAAGTATCTATATCCACAGTAAAACGAGTCCTATATCGACATAACCTGAAAGTCCGCTCAGCAAGGAAGAAGCCACTGCTCCAAAACCACCATAAAAAAGCCAGACTACGGTTTGCAACTGCACATGGGGACAAAGATCGTACTTTTTGGAGAAATGTCCTCTGGTCTGATGAAACAAAAATAGAACTGTTTGGCCATAATGACCATCGTTATGTTTGGAGGAAAAAGGAGGGGCTTGCAAGCCGAAGAACACCATCCCAACCGTGAAGCACGGGGGTGGCAGCAGCATGCTGTGGGGGTGCTTTGCTGCAGGAGGGACTGGTGCACTTCACAAAATAGATGGCATCATGAGGAAGGAAATTATGTGTATATATTGAAGTCAGGAAGTTAAAGCTTGGTCGCAAATGGGTCTTCCAAATGGACAATGACCCCAAGCATGCTTCCAAAGTTGTGGCAAAATGGCTTAAGGACAACAAAGTCAAGGTATTGAAGTGGCCATCACAAAGCCCTGACCTCAATCCTATAAAAAAGTTGTGGGCAGAACTGAAAAAGCGTGTGCGAGCAAGGAGGCCTACAAACCTGACTCAGTTACATCAGCTCTGTCAGGAGGAATGGGCCAAAATTCACCCAACTTATTGTGGGAAGCTTGTGGAAGGCTACCCGAAACATTTGACCCAAGTTAAACAATTTAAAGGCAATGCTACCAAATACTAATTGAGTGTATGTAAACTTCTGACCCACTGGGAATGTGATGAAAGAAATAAAAGCTGACATAAATCATTCTCTCTACTATTATTCGGATATTCTCACATTCTTAAAATAAAGTGGTGATCATAACTGACCTAAGACAGGGAATTTCTACTAGGATTGAATGTCAGGAATTGTGAAAAACTGAGTTTAAATGTATTTGGCTAAGGCGTATGTAAACTTCTGACTTCAACTGTATGTATGTATCAGAGGAGGCTGGATTGGAGGAGCCATAGGAGGACTGCTCATTGTAATGGATAGAATGGAATAAATGGAACAGAGTCAAACATGTGGTTTCCATATATTTGATGTGTTTGATACCATTCAATCCATTACATGTGCACGTCCTCCTATAGCTCCTCCCACCAGCCTCCTCTGGTATCTATGTATGTATGTGCACCACATGAGGTTGGTGGCACCTTAATTGGGGAGGACGGGCACGTGGTAATGGCTGGAGTGGAATGGTGGAATGGTATCAACTACATCAAACAGATGGTTTCCATGTGTTTGATGCCATTCCATTCACTCTATTCCAGCATTATTAGGAGCTGTCCTCCCCTCAGCAGTCTCCACTGATGTGCATGCATCTGTGTATGTGTGTTTGTATCTATGTGCGTATGTCTATGTGCTCCTGCATCTGCATGTGTGCATGACGTGTGTTCCTATAAATGTGTGTTTGTGCGTGCATGTAAGGCCAGTGAGGGGAGCCCAAGTGGTATAAAGTTAAAGGGATTGGTGACAGCAGGCTTCAGATGAGGGGTTAGAGCCAGAGGTGGCTCTCAGTGACAGCCTGTCTGGCCTGTCTATCTCATCCCATCTCCCTGCTAGGGCCAGTGGGGTGACTGGGTTCTCCCATGCTCCAACACACAGACCAGGCTAGCTATGGGTCAGTAAAGATAACCCGCCAGGCTGTGCCCATTACCCAGTTTAGCTTTTAAAATGGGAAGTTGGCCTGTCAGTGAATGAGTATGGGATTTGGTGAGAAGTTGGCCTATGTACAGTAACAGAGTATGGGATTTGGTCTAAGTCCCACTCTGTTCCACTGGTCAAGCTGGGATGAGTGGGGGTTTTAATGATATGAGGGTCACTAAGGGTCTGACTTTAAGGATTTATCACACTGTCCATTCCAACAAGTGGCAAAAATGTGGTGAAATGGACAGTCTGTTTCGTGTCAATTTGAATGTGTATCATGTGCAAGGCTATTTTGTACTGTAAGTGGACTAAACATAACGAGGCAGGCTTTCGTACCCCCAAATGTATCCCATCCTATCAGATATTCTGCAGAGTAATGTGCACAGATCTCAAGTCAGAATTAGTCTCTGTTCCTGTATCATCAACTACCCCAGTTGCAGAGGGAGGGTAGTGAACAGTTGGTCGTTTTTGGGTGAGGACCTCATCGTAGGAGATTGAGGGGATTTATTTTTGGGGATAAATTGCTAGAGGCTCTGCTCTGTGGTGCGCATGTTTGAGTTTATTTAACCCCTGCCCCCTGGCACCAGCTTTGCACCTGCTCAACCCAACCCGTTGCTCCACTCTCTGGAGTAGATTTGACTCAGTAGAGTAGATGTGTAGCTATTTCAGTGGCACTCAACTGCAACTCTCAAATCAAATGGGATTCAGATAAAACTTTGTTGACATACCTGTGGCACCTAGACGGTGTAAACGGGTGGAATACAGACTGGTGAAGAGACATTAATAACTGAGAAAAATAAGACTGAGAAAGACTGGTTTTGTTGATAAAGGAACCATTCAGTTGTTGTGACTGTCAGAGCTCTGGACCCTGCTAGTTTCAGAAATGACTCCTCCTCTGTCTGCCAACTGGAGACTCTACTAAACTAATTTCCTGGATTAGTCAGAGGGCAGTTGCCAGGGTGGATTGTATTAGCAATCTAATTTGTAGACCCCTACCCTATCTTCATGTTTAATGTCCACTACCAATGGACCAGAAGGGTCCATTTATTACCCATGTAAATGTTCCTTCCCTGCCTTTGCCTTGCTTGTTTCCCTGTTGATCTGATAAATGAAGGTGTGTTTTGTAGGGTGATGTAATGGTCAGAGCAGATGTGGTGTAGGGAGGCTTCTGAAGGGAGCTCAGCCTCACATCTAGGCTGCTTAAACCAGACGGAATGCTGCACTCATGTGGTGTGCTCAGTCTGAGCAGCGTTCAGTCTGGTTTAACCAGGCTAGCTCCGATTCACCTTCTCATTAACATCCATGATGAATCAGATAATAATCAGCCAGATGAATTTACCCAGACGGTCCTATTAACCAGGATACATATTAGAGCCTCTGGTCTCAGGCAGGGGGAAAAACCAGGCTACGTTCTCTCTATGCAGAATATCATCAATCCAACAAGCAAATTATGAGAAATAACAGAAGTCTAAAATATTTGCTGTAAAAAGCAATAATCTAATTTGCGTTGAGTTGATGACACACATTATTATAGAAATAGACTCGAATGGGTTTCTGGTAAACAGGATTCAAGATTTCTTGTGATCTTGGTAATAATAAGAAAATTCAGTACATTGCTGCTTTGAAATAGAAAATAGAAATATACCAAATTGAAATTACCATACATTTCCTATCATAGATAACATTGTGCCACTTTAAAGAAGAACTTTGGTCATTTCTCAATTGAGAGCTGTGTCAACTTGAACTTGAAACTAATTGCATCACAGTCACAGTTCCACTTAGGTTGTATAACCAAAGTGAGGTTAACCCAGAGGTTAGCCAGCTAATTAACGTCTCTATTTTGATGTTGAACTCCAGTCAGTGATTATTGTAGCTCCACATCCCCTCTATTGTCATAGAGCAACACAGAGGGCAGCACAGTGAACCAGGAGGAAATCCTTAACTGGCTCGCTGTCTCACTACCTGACCCCCAGACACACAATGCAACATAGGATTACAAAGATAGTTAAGGGAACAATTATTTTGACTTTACACAGGCTTTTGTTTAATTGTTAGTCTTATTAATATCATTGCTGCGATCAATGTTTAGACCCCTGAGCACCTCTTGTACGAACTCTAGTTGCCAACTACTAAATTAGTTCTGGGCCTCTCTTGAGCTAGGCTCCCATGTTCACTTTTAATTGGCAAGACATGGCTTTAGTTCAGTAGTAATGTTATTCAGTTCTGTAAAAAGGGAAACTGTGAAGTAAATACTGTAACTAACTGGCGGTTAGAGAGGGCGATGGTTGCGTTAATTAACCAAATTCACTTTTAATGAAAGGAAACTTAATCTGGATTGGTTTAATTAAATAATATTCCCGAGCATTAAAAAGGGTCAGAAAACACTTTCATGTGGAATAATTAAGTCCGTACACTTTTTTTTCACTAATTAAGACGAATGTATCTGCTTTGATGTGTGTGACTCTGGATAAACTAGGTGAAACGGTCATAGTACTGTAGCAGTGTTAGTTAGTGTGGTGTCACGCAGTGTAACAAGATGCATCGGCGGTAAGACTAAGTAAGTTTCTCTCTCTGTGATCTCTCTCTTCTAGTACCTGAGGATCTCTCTCTGGAAGAGAGGGATGAGCTGTCAAACATCCGGCGGAGGAAGAGAGAGCTGCTGGATGATATTGAAGTGGGTAGCATTGAAGTTGCTTTGCCTCGGCTTAGTAGCTGCAAAGCTTTGAGGAAGAGTGTATTGTATTTTTCTGACGTGCTCATGTACAGATGTAGGATCTTCATTTTATTATCCTGTTGTTGCAAGACATTTACTGCACAGCAGGAAATGCACATTTGTAGTGTATTCAACATTTTTAAAAAGGCTTCTAAAGTTTGTAATTTCCACTTTAAAATGTCAGACAAAAAAATTATCAACCCCTACAAAAATGTCCATTAATTATAATCCACACAATAATTATCAGGTCCTGTTGGTGCAGGATTATTTTCCTGCTGTTCATTCAATTTATGTTCTAGTACAGTACTGCTTTCACTCAGAATAAAGCCTATTCCAAGAATCCAATTATATTTCATTTTCTTCCCCTCTCAGCGCTTGAAGTTTGAGATAGCTGAAGTCATGACTGAGATTGAGCAACTAACGTGTGTAGGAGAAAGGTGAGTGAACAGCCCATGGTCTCATTCACTGGTGCTTGCATTTGTTTTTCACTGTTCTAACTAGAAGAGTGAAAAATTCTGTGCAGTGCTTTCAATCAACCTTAGCCGATTAACCATATCTAATTTCCATACCCAAAATGTGACAGAACTACTTTATAATCTCATCTATCACCATCAGCCTGCTCAGTTTCCCGTCATTAGTGGATCACTAGTGGTATCTCTGGTGAGAGAGTACATGTCTTAAATCTGGCTCAATGTATACAACACTAATGGGTCACAGGTGTCTGAACAGCTGAAGGTTAAAAAGGCACCTGTGGCTTTTTACATATCAATAAATATGTATGTTTTTGTAGGAGAAGTTGCTTGGTTGTATTGTAGGTTTTTCATGGCTTTCCTTCCATGTCATGTCTCACAGCAAAACAACACAGAGGAACAAACAGATCGCCATGGGGAGGAAGAAATTCAACATGGATCCTAAGAAGGTATTTTCACGTTTATGTGCATGACCAGAGCCTCAGGGTTCAGGGATGGCCACGTCTTAAGTCTTTTATTCCGCCTTGGGATAGCTTTTTGCGGTGTTGTGTCCAGTATATTGAAAAGCTATGTTCACGTTTGCATGTATGACCCAGGCTTCATTGGTGGCCTCAAGTCTTTTATTTCAGTCCTGGTTTTCTGGGTGTTGTCCAGTAATGGAATCCTGTGATATGCTGCTGCTCTACTAGAATCATTCACCCTTGATTGAGATAAACAGCCCACTGTCTGTCGTCCATCTTGTGTTCCAGGGGATCCAGTTTCTCCTGGAGAACGACCTTCTGCAGCACACCCCAGAAGACATCTCTCAGTTCCTCTACAAGGGCGAGGGCCTGAACAAGACTGTCATCGGAGACTACTTAGGGGAGCGGTAAGCCATCCCATCTATCTGCCTAGCAGGGAAACAGTTTTCCCTCCCTGTCGTGCTCCTAAAGCCGCGCTGCAGATTTATGTCCACTGCGTGATTAGTCTGTTTGCTCGCCGAGTCTGAGGCCATCCTCACGGGATATTATGGTCTGCATTTATTGATGAAAGCGGCCACCAGGTTCCCTCGGAATACAAATCACCTTGACAACGAGTCGTCTTGAGTGTCTCGGGTCTCGTCTCCCCCGCTTATGCCACCCCACTGTGGATACCTGACTAGCAATAAAAAATACTTAATTCTCCACAACTCAACCCAGAAACACACTGTCAGGTAACAGAGGAGGGGGGTCGACTTGGGACTAGAGATACAGCAGCTTATTTGACTTAAAGACAACACTGTTGGCAGCTTCAGATGATATCTGAAGGGAAAGACCAGGAGGTTACGTTATATGAAAAACAGGAGTAATAGATTAATGGAGAGAGAGACGGTCTATGTATTGAAAGAGATGTGCAGTGTGACGCAGACTGTGTGTGTTTGCATCAGACGTGTGTGTGCCAGTGTGTGCCAGACGTGGGTGTGTTGGAGTCAGTCATCAATATTAAGAGTCTAGATGTTAAATCTATGATCCCCATACGTCCTCCACTGTACCCGCCTCGAAACCCAGAGGGAATGATCAAAGAACCAGCCCACTCAGTGGAAAGAACTGTAAACATAGGTGGGGCGGCTATACTTAGCATTTAGTCCTAATTGAGTTTACGGGAGGATCTGGAACCTATCATTACACGCACTGTAATTACAGATTTAATGGAGAGAAAGAGAGCGAGAGAGGGATGGAGAGAGAGAAAGAGTGGGTGAATCTGTCTTAAATGACACAATCAGACAGGATCTTTGGTAATGTGTTAGTAATCCTGTCCTGCTTTCCTAGCTCTTCTTATTACTCCTGTTGATACAATACAAGGTTGGATTTTTTCACAGATAATAGTTTTAAGTGATTCAGTAGTAATACATCAGTAATAAAACTGTTTTTTTATCAGCTTCTTTCTCAGATATTTCTCTCTCTGTACACACAGCAACTCTTATTTACTTGGAAAACTTTGTTACAGAAACATTTCCTGAGTTTGGTTGCCTTCTGAAGGTTATGAGTGATACAAATACAATGAGTGTTCAGGCTCAGGAACATTAAATTGGATGTTAAATAAACAACATCAGAGGACCACAGGCCACTAAGCTTCAAAGGTGATGTTGACTTTCTTCAACAAATCTCTCTCACAAAAGACTCTTGTGTGTGGATTCTTGACCATGCCAAGCTTCAATAGCCCAGCACCTCAAGGTATTGGGATCAATTTCAATAGGCCAGCTGTTAAGATTGCTTCCAGACTCTTGCAGAGTTGTTTTGTATATCAATGAAGGCAGAACATTTTCTGGAATTCAAAGGAAAAGGCATCTGCTTGGGCAAAATAAAACATTCGCAGTGGAAATATTGTTTTTCCCTTCTGGGCTCAACCTGCATGTGTGGAACTATTCAATCTCTTCTCCAGGAAATGTTTTGGATATTCCCTTGATAATATTCCCATTCCTTGCTTTGGAAAAATGCCTTGAGGAAAAAAAACATTTCCTGATGGGAATACCTGTCCTTGTGTCCCCAGAGATGAGTTTAACCTCAAGGTGTTGCAGGCGTTCGTAGAGCTCCATGAGTTTGCTGACCTCAACCTCGTCCAGGCCTTAAGGTGAGCTGCATGTTTCTATCATCTAACAGGGAACAAACTACACAAAACTGGTTTTATAAGGGACTGATGGAGACATGTCTATATAAAAATAGACTCCATATGGTATACACTCAATACTGATGATGAAAGTTAATTGTGTTAATCTGTGTTCAATGAGGAGCTAAGTGTCCGAATGTTTCTGCTCTCTGTCTGTTGCAGGCAGTTCCTGTGGAGTTTCCGTCTGCCTGGTGAGGCTCAGAAAATTGACCGGATGATGGAGGCGTTTGCCTCGCGGTACTGTGGCTGTAATCCCGGGGTGTTCCAGTCAACAGGTCAGATCCTCAACATTCAACACTAAGTCTGCCTAAGGGTGACCTAGACCCACAGGGATCAAAACGCTGCTACATTGAAACTTGACATTCACTATCGGTAAGCCCCATAGGGGCTTTGGTCAAAAGTAGTGCACTATATAGGGAATAGGGTTCCATTTGGAACTTACTGATAGTGAATGTCTGTTTACTGTTTTAGATTAGTTCCTATGAGTTGACCACCGTGGGTCTAGGTCACCCTCAGCCTTGCATTCTTCTTATGCGGAAGTAATTCAATTATCACTAATGAATACTTCCTGATCTTGATTGGAGACCTTTGCCATTGCCATCTGTCCTGTGTCAAAAGTTCACATGTGGAATCAACAACAAGTAGTTAGCCACCAAAACATCCGACCATGTAAGCATCTCTTAGGTGGATGAAATACACTAGGACTGGATGAGACAACTTCTTATCCCCACACAATCCAGAATTATTTAGGAAAAAGAGCTACGGTAAGGATATTATTTCCACAATAGGTAATAAATAGTTTATAGTTCATTTTCTATGCCTGTCATGGCTCCATCCAGAGAGGGAGGGACTGTGCAGTGAATCTGTGCTCTCTTCACACAAGACACATCCCACTGGGCACAGAAGTCAATTCAACATCTATTCCACATTGGTTCAACGTCATTTCATGGAAATAACGTTGATTCAACCAGTGTGTGCCAAGTGGGATCTCTGCTCTGAATAAACCAGGGCAGAACAACAGTACTGTACCAGAACTCCTAGCACACTCAGTGGGGGCATCTATGGTAGAGACAGACAATGCCCTCTGGATGGACGAACGGACAGAATGACAGACAGACAGGAGTGTGTCAGAGGGAAACAGAGAATCATTATTTATATCCAGACAGGGACTGGTATGTGTCAGCAGGGCATTAATATACCATCAGTACAGTAGAATGTGTTTTTATAGAAAAGGTCTACTTTCTACTGACTCCGGGTGTCAGTGGGTGTTAATCCCAAAACTTAGTGCAGGAGTGTCATGGATGCAGGAGAGCAGAGGAAAATAAAAGTTGTTTATTGTTTATAGATCAATATTCAGATATGATCGATATATTGACAACACCAGTCTTCCCAAAACATGAATTGACTCTAGTGTCTAGTATCCCTGGTTAACCTCAGTGAAAGGCAGAGAGGTGTTTATTACTACTAAATATTAATTACTTATCTCCCTCCTGCAGACACCTGTTATGTGCTGTCGTTTGCCATCATCATGTTGAACACCAGCCTGCACAACCCCAATGTCAGAGACAAGCCCCCTGTAGAGAGATTCATCTCCATGAACAGAGGGATCAACGAGGGAGGAGACCTGCCAGAGGAACTACTCAGGGTAAGACAGAGATCGTGTGTGTGTGTGTGTGTGTGTGTGTGTGTGTGTGTTTAAGTGTGTGTGTGTGTGTGTGTGTGTGTGTGTGTGTGTGTGTGTGTGTGTGTGTGTGTGTGTGTGTGTGTGTGTGTGTGTGTGTGTGTGTGTGTGTGTGTGGAGAGTAAATGTTTCTTCCATTACTCAACCTTTTGTATTCTGTTTTGCAGAATTTATTTGACAGCATCAAAAATGAACCCTTCAAAATCCCAGAGGACGATGGCAACGATCTGACACACACGTTCTTCAACCCCGACAGAGAGGGATGGCTACTGAAACTAGGTGAGTGACAACCAAAGAATCCACATCTTAGTACTTGGTTCACCAACATGCCTACAAATATACTATATCCGTATTCGCCACATTTAGGGCAGATGGAAATGACCTCAGGATATCATCAAATATTAGCAATGTGAAAAATTTTGCGAACTTGTGAAGCAACTCTTTCGTCTCGTATTGTGTTTCTGCACTACTGTCTCGTCCTCTTTTCCCCCTCTCTCACTCCAAGCATGGTCTGTGTGATTCAGCTGCTCCTCTCTCTGTCCTTGGTTTTATGTCCTTACTGGGTTGTTGTTTTCTCTTTTGAATTTTAAATGTGCCCTCTTGTTTTCCCTCACAACCTTTGACCTGTCACCTTTCTGTTCTGTTCTGTGACTGGCTGTTTCTTCTTACTCTGCGCTAGGAGGTAGGTACCCCCTCTCGATCCCAGTAGAAGTTACACCTAACCACTGATACAGGGTCAGATCTTCCCCATCCCCATTAATGGTTATGGTTAGGATTGAGGGTGGCGGTAAACTGATCCTAGATCTGTGGTTTAGGACAGCTTCTACTCCTCCCACCCCTCTGCTTTACCACATCCTGAGGTCCCATGCTAACAACATTTAGCTCTTATCTTCTTAGTCAACCGGCCCTGTGTAGCTCAGTTGGTAGAGCATGGCGCTTGCAACACCAGGGTTGTGGGTTTGTTTCCCACGGGGGGCCAGTATGAAAGAATGTATGCACTCACTAACTGTAAGTCGCTCTGGAGAAGAGCGTCTGCTAAATGACTAAAATGTAAAATGTAAATCTACATATTGGCCCCGTGTAGCTCAGTTGGTAGAGCATGGCGTTTGCAACGCCAGGGTTGTGGGTTCATTTCCCACGGGGGGCCAGTATGAAAAAATGTATGCACTCACTAACTGTAAGTCGCTCTGTATAAGAGCGTCTGCTAAATGACTCAAATGTAAATGTAAAATGTATTAGCTGCTAGCTGGTTAGTGGTCATCTATTAGCTTGTTTGTTGCAGAGATGTGTGTGGAACTGTGACTTATGGTTGTCGGGGGTGACAGGGTTATCTAGAATGGGTTGTGTGATCTCTTTGATCTTGGATGAGGATCCACCCACCACATTCCTCCTCTGACTGGCCAACGTCTCTGTCTCACACAGCTCCCATTTATGTTAACCATAACAACATGTTATTTCACTTTTGGGGAACGGTGTAGGGCCAGGAGTTTTTCCAGCCCTCATTACCTGACCAGGAAAAACTGAGGACTAGTTATTATAGGCTTGTAGCTAGAGTTTAAAAATAGGGCCCCAGAGTGATCAGGTAAAACTCCTGGCCCTAGGAAGGGGTGCATTTCCTTCATTTAGGTCATGGGTTTGCGCTATGAGAATGTGTTCTGTATGCTAGCTACATTATGTGCTGATCCTGTGGTGTTCTGAGTTCCTCCATCCTGCTGCTGCTGCCCTCCAGGCCTGAAACACCTCCTGCTGCTGCTGCCCTCCAGGCCTGAAACACCTGCTGCTTCCTGGTTCCTCCTATCTGGTTGCGTGTCAAATGGCACCCTATTTCCTATATAGTGCACTACTTTTGACCAGGGCCCGTGTATTTCACTATATAGGGAATAGGTGCCCTATGGGATGCAACCTCTATATATTCACTTGGGATCCCCCCCCCCCCCCCCCCCTTTCCATCCCACCGGCTGCGCTTGCTAGATCATTTTAGTTCCAGTTTTCCTCTCTCTGAGTTGCATTACGTCTGTATGCTAATTTTAGCATCCCTATGGAAGGAGCTGCCTGATGGAGACGCTGTGGTTTTTATGATGTAGTTAAATGAGTCATTACAGCAGCCTGTCAGGTAGTTAAATGAGTCATTACAGCAGCCTGTCAGGTAGTTAAATGAGTCATTACAGCAGCCTGTCAGGTAGTTAAATGAGTCATTACAGCAGCCTGTCAGGTCATTACAGCAGCCTGTCAGGTAGTTAAATGAGTCATTACAGCAGCCTGTTACAGCAGCCTGTCAGGTAGTTAAATGAGTCATTACAGCAGCCTGTTACAGCAGCCTGTCAGGTAGTTAAATGAGTCATTACAGCAGCCTGTCAGGTAGTTAAATGAGTCATTACAGCAGCCTGTCAAGTAGTTAAATGAGTCATTACAGCAGCCTGTAGTTAAATGGAAGAGACTGAGCTGCCTTAACTGAGGTTAGAGCTGGAGCGCTCTGTGTACACTGTTCTGAGTCTAGTATAGCTCCCCTCTATTTGGAACATCAGCATAAATACATAAACTGCAGGGGCCCCCATATACCTATTTTAGAATGTCAGCATGTTTATACGACATGTTAACAATGCATTTCACATAAAACTCTAGGATTCTATAGCACTCTATAAGTAAACTAATATAGTATTATAATAATAATAATAATAATAATAATAATAATAATAATAGTAGACTGAGTGTACAAAACATTGGGAACACCAGCTCTTTCCATGACTTATACTGACCAGGTGAAAGCTTTGATCTGTTATTGATGTCACTTCAAGTGTAGATGAAGGGGAGGAGACAGGTTAAAGAAGGATTTTTAAGCCTTGAGACAATTCAGACATGGATTGTGTGTATGTGCCGTTCAGAGGGTGAATGGGAAAGACAAAAGATTTAAGTGCCTTTGAATGGGGTATGGTAGTAGGTACCAGGCGCACCGTTTTGTGTCAAGAACTGCAATGCTGCTGTGTTTTTCACACTCAACAATTTCCCGTGTGTGTCAAGAATGGTCCACCACCCAAAGGACATCCAGCCAACTTGACACAACTGTGGGAAGCATTGGAGTCAACATGGGCCAGCATCCCTATGGAACGCTTTCGACACCTTGTAGTTCAATGCCTCAACGAATTGAGACTGTTCTGAGGGCAAAAGGGGTTGCAACTCAATATTAGGAAGGTGTTCTTAAGGTTTTGTACATTCAGTGTAGTACAATTTATTATTATTATTACTTATAATTACATGGATTATTGACCGCTTGCATAATTTTGCTTAAAATAATCCTTATAATCTGGACAACTGTAGAGAATGATCTATCTGGATTTATTGAGGCTTGACTCAAGGAGATAAGGGTTAACGTTAAGAATATCGTGAGGAGATATTCTTCCTGAAAAAAATGTCTGAGAATTGTATCTTGTTACTCATTCTGTTCCTCACACTACCTGGTCGGTCGGTCGGACAGAGAATGGTTTTGGCTGCCTTCACGGTACAGAGAGAGGGATTCGGCCAATGGAAAAAGAGCTGAGTTTAGACTTTGGTGAATGCTTCTAGAAATAGGCCCAACGTACCAATTTGTTATTGTTAGTACTTGAAGTATACTCATTACGGCAAGCACTTGAAATTGTTTACCTTGGTTACATTGTATTGTTACGGAAATGTGGAATGAGTAATTGTCCCTCTGTAGATATTCATAAAATAATTAAATAAATTCAGATGTATCACTAAATTTGAGAGGCAAATGTCTTTATTATGTAGTGGGTTGGGTATAGTGTGACAGTCTAAATGCTTAGCCACCCCTGACCAATGAACCACGCTCCCCAGCTCCGGCTGAACCAACGCAATAACGTCACACGTGAAAGGCTGCTTTTCTGGGATTCTCCCCAAATTGAACCCACATTTTGACTGTTTTCACAAGCAATACCTCGCACTACTCAGGGCCCTCTGGGGAGGGGGAGGGGAGGCTGGGGGGGAATATTGGACCCCTGATTGAATCAGCCTAATGGGCAGAATGCTGATCAGAACCAGATGTGGCACGTGGAGGGGTAGGGGTGGAGGGAAGGGTGGGGTGTAGGAGGGTTAGGATAGGATAGGGTTAGGGCACTCCTCCTAAGGACTATGGGCTGGGCTATAGGCTAGTCTGTCTGTCTCAACATTGAGTCTCAATGGAAATATGCATAATTTCTGTTGCAGTTTGCATTGAAATGTGTCTGTGAGAAAGGCTTTGCTGGTTGCTTAAATGTCGACACTAAGCAGCCTGCATCTTACACCCTTGTAGTTGCTTTTCTATAGTATTGTATAGGCCCAAGTGATTAGTATCCACATGTAGCGCTGGGGTCTATTCAGGCGGTGGCAACATTACAGAACATTCAGATAGAAATGTATTGCGTATGTAGAATATAGGGAATCATGCCAACTCTAAACATTACATTTCTATCTGCAATACTAACAGTATCACCTCATTGGCTGTGTAGCCTACAACACTGCCTCTCCGCATGGCTTGGCCATTTGCTCTTCTCTCTCTCTGTGAGGATGTTACTATGTTGTTACTCAACATGTCTGGTATGTTTCTCTACAGGTGGAAGAGTGAAGACCTGGAAGAGACGGTGGTTCATTCTGACTGACAACTGCCTGTACTACTTTGAATACACAACAGTAAGTTAGCGTGTGGTTTTATCAATACTGTGGAAACCCTTATCTGTATGAGAGAAAGAGAGACTTAAAGAGAAAGAGAGAGACATCATAGGCAGACAGTCAGAGAGTGGCTATTGTATGCCCTTCGTAGCCAGTCAGCCTCGCCACAGCCAGTCTGTAGAAGATGCAGCCCGGACCTTTGACCTAAATGCACTCCGGTCCAGCAATTAACACGATGCATGGAAAACATCTGGGAGGTCTGTTGCATATCTGGCCTAGCCCAGACCCCTCCCCCATTACCCTACACATAGACACACACACACGTTGACACACACACGTAGACACAAACCAACACACACACACTGCTTAGAGCCCACCCCCCAGCACTGAGCCCCCAGCCCAGTCCAGTCCCCGGGCATCCCATCCCTGCTGTGTTCTCTCATTAAGAGAAAGACTGGGGACGACAGGGGGGCTGTTCTGTTCTGTTCTGTTCCTCAGCTTCCAGACTACCCCCAGACTCCCATCCTGCAGAGCCTCCCAGACACAATAGAAATCCACTGTAGGATTGGGTTACTTCTCCCCTAGGTACTCTACTCTGTGTGACCTGTGTGTGAACAATAACAGTATTGTCACGATCGTCTAATGAGGGAGACCAAGGCGCAGCGTTGCGAGTGAACATATTCTATTTATTAAATGCTCACACGAACAAAACAATAAACAACGAATGCGTGACGTCTATGGTACAACACGAACACACACGAACAAAATCCCACAACCCGAAAGAAAAACAGACAGATTAAATATGGCTCCCAATCAGAGACAACCAGCCGACAGCTGACACTCGTTGCCTCTGATTGGGAGTCACACCGGCAAACATAGAAAATAGACAACCTAGAACACCCACCAAAGAAACAGAAAACATAGAATGAACACACCCTGGCTCAACATAATGAGTCCCCGAGCCAGGGTGTGACAGTACCCCCCCCTAAAGGCGCGGACTGCGACCGCGCCTAAATACGAGCAAAAACAGGGGAGGGCTGGGTGGGCATTCCTCCTCGGCGGCGGCTCCGGCTCCGGGCTTGATCCCCACTTCCTCTCCAACCCCCCAAAGTACCCCTGGTCCTGTCTAGCCCCGCTGGCCGGAGCCGGACTGACGACACGCGCCCCTGGCTTGGTGCGTGGAACAGGAACGGACCGGAGCAGGAATGGACCGGAATGGGCTGGCGACGCGCACCACAGACTTGGTGCGGAGAGCAGGAACGAGCCGGACAGGGCTGACGAAACGCACCACAGACTTGGTGCGGGGAGCAGGAACAGGCCGGGCCGGGCTGGCGACGCGCACCACAGGTTTGGTGCGGGGAGCAGGAACAGGCCAGGCCTGGCTGGCGACGCGCACCACAGACTTGGTGCGGAGAGCAGGAACGGGCCGGACCGGGCTGGCGACGCGCACCACAGGTTTGGTGCAGGGAGCAGGAACAGGCCGGGCCGGGCTGGCGACGCGCACCATAGGCTCGGTGCGGGAAGCAGGAACAGGCCGGGCCGGGCTGACGACACGCACCACAGGCTCGATGCGAGGAACAGGAACAGGAACAGGCCGGACCGTACTGGGGACACACACCACTGGCCCTACGCAGGGATCAGGAACGGGCCGGACCGGACTGGTAACACACCCCAGTACCTCTCGCCGTGCCTCCACACTTTCCCTCTCCTCTGTGACCAGTGGCCCCCTTAACCTGGCGGCCTCCTCTTCACACCCGCTGGACCGCTCCCTCGCGGCCTCCTGCTGCCCCGTCGTCCACGTCGTGAGCCCCCCCCTAAAAATGTTCTGGGGGTCTCTCCTCCCCGTGGGCCAGGCCTCCATCGTTCTCGCCCACCTCTCGCTCCTCTGTCTCCAACCCTCGTCACTCAGCTCCTCAATGGGCTTGACCCAGTCGAAGCTCTTGATCCATTGCTCCATAGACCAGCCTCTCTTCTCTTCACTTAGCGGGGCCCAGCCGAAACTCCTACTCCACTGATCCCAGGTCCTTCCTCTCTCCTCCTCACGCTGCTTGGTCTGGTACTGGTGGGATTTTCTGTCACGATCGTCTAATGAGGGAGACCAAGGCGCAGCGTTGCGAGTGAACATATTCTATTTATTAAATGCTCACACGAACAAAACAATAAACAACGAATGCGTGACGTCTATGGTACAACACGAACACACACGAACAAAATCCCACAACCCGAAAGAAAAACAGACAGATTAAATATGGCTCCCAATCAGAGACAACCAGCCGACAGCTGACACTCGTTGCCTCTGATTGGGAGTCACACCGGCAAACATAGAAAATAGACAACCTAGATCACCCACCAAAGAAACAGAAAACATAGAATGAACACACCCTGGCTCAACATAATGAGTCCCCGAGCCAGGGTGTGACAAGTATAGTACAGTTGTAACGTGTATAGGCTACAGACTGTGTACAGTTAGGAAGTTACTTAGGCCTCCTGTCCGAGTATGACTGATTTATACACCCTTATGTGTATAAAACATTGTTTGTACTTATTGAACCACCCTTACCAAAAAAACTGGCTTCTGGCAAACAGTTGTGGCACACAAATTTGCCACAAACTTGCGGGAAGTTTGCCACAACAAATTTGTTTATGTAAGGGCAGCTGCACAAATCAATTGACCTTTAACTATATGCAGTGTGTTTACATATTAAATCATGTATTGAATAATGTGTTCTTTGTGTTGTCTGCAGGACAAGGAACCTCGTGGGATCATTCCTCTAGAGAACCTTAGTATAAGAGAGGTGGATGAGCCCAGGAAACCTGTAAGTTCCCCAAAATATGGAAAGAAAACAATTCCTGAAAAGGGGCTAATAAAATGAACTGGATACTTAAAGTCTCTGTGTACTTTCCATTTGAATATTCACCCTAGCTAATTATTTCTCTCTTTCTCTTTCTCTCTCCCTCTCTCTAACCCTGTCATCCAATCAGAACTGTTTCGAGCTCTACAACCCCAACCACAAGGGTTCGTTGATCAAGGCGTGTAAGACGGAGGCGGACGGCCGGGTCGTCGAGGGCAACCACACAGTGTACAGGATATCAGCGCCCACCACAGAGGAGAAAGAGGAGTGGATCAAATCCATCAAGTACGTTTTCGCTGTAACCCACCTAAGGTTTTTGCCCACCATGTAAACACAACCAAGAATCTGCTACGAGACACCAGTGGCTCTCAACTCACCATGATTCAATGACAAAGCTAGGTTTACACCAGTATGTATGTATTCACTGACGCTTCTTTGAAGATACATTTGTCTTCCCACAAATACCACTATGACCATGTGTTTCTTCCCATGTGTGAACGCTTTGATGTAACTGTGTGACAGTCCCACACTAACGCATATGGCTGAGAGGCTAACTTTCTCACAGTGTGTGGACTCTCTGGGGGTTAAATGGGTTTCCGTTTGATAAAGCCCTCTAGATTAGCCTATAGACATGAGAGCTAAAAGACAAGCACGCACTACACTCTCTTTCTCTGGCATTCTGCCTCAATTCGTTCCACTTAGTGTTTTTGCCAAATCCACACTATTTATCATACACAAATGCTGTCTAGTTAAGGAGAAAAATAATTATAGAAGTGCTCTGTTAAAATGGATCCAGAGGGTGATTGATCATAGCTCCTCTCAGCTGAGCTTTCCAATGATCAATATCTGAGGCGGAAATCATATTATATGATACTCTAATCAGGCATGACGATATAGCAACACCATTAGCAATTGACGGCTCGGTTTCCATTAGAACCAACAAAATGGATTTTTCTGCTCGTTCCACAACCTTACTGGCAAGCTTGTTTGGATGAAGTGAATGCCATACAGTTAAGGAGATTTGACAGGGAGACATGATAATGTCAACTTCAGTTCTACAATTATCATAACTTTAGATGGGGTGTTGGAAAGGGAGTTTACAGTGGGAAACCAGTGCCTATCCTAGTGCACACCAGTCCTGTATGAAATCACAGCTGTAGGTGAAGTTTATAGAACTCTTCATTGTGTTGTTGTAGCTGTGAGACTGTGGGACAGGGTGACAGACTGTGTGCAGAACAGGCCAGGGTTGCTTTAGCTCACACACACTCTCTGTACCCTGACTCAGCTTTAGGTAGTCTCCTCTGTGGTCAGCATGAGACACACACAGAACGGCCATCTCAGCATGTCCTGTGTTCCTACTGCCGGGAAAGCAGTGAATTACTCAACCCTATTACTGTCCCGTTGGGGTTTGTGTGTGTGTGTGTGAAAGAGAGAAAACAACAACCCACTCAGACTGGACGCAAGGCTTTTCTCAGTAATTTAATGGACCGCTATGGCTTTTCCCTCTGCAGTCTTCAAGGGAATATGGGGGTGTATCACAGTCTACAGAGTCTGCACTAATGTACCAAAGAGACAGCTTTATTGTGTTACATCTCTGTTGATAGAGGTACTCCTTCAGAGGAGGCTGAAAAATATGAAACCAATTGCAATGTTTTCCTTGGATGACAATGTAGGTTAGAATGTGAACTGATGATACTGAATATAGTAAAGCTGGGGAAACTATTCCCACACCTGCTCATGAAGGCCTACACAGACTACTGTAATATACAATAACCATTGTTTATTTTTCATAACCAATCCATCTCTCTTTCTGCAGAGCAAGCATCAGCAGGGATCCTTTCTATGACATGCTAGCCACCAGGAAGCGGAGGATAGCCAATAAGAAGTGAGGAGGAGAACCTGACCACACCAACCCTATCATAGACCCCTGTTGGGGGGGGGGGGGGGGATGTCTCACACGCTCAGCCCAGGGACAGGAGACATGGCTACGTTACCACAGCAGAGACAAGGGGATCCAGATGTAGTGGGGAATTGACTTTGCATACAACACCTCTACACTTCATCAGTATGGATAAAGGACAAGATGGGGAAGGGCACTTGACATTTTGGTTATGTTTCTTTTCAGATGCATCTGTGAATGCAATGCACATAACTGTACATTCTATAAAGTATTAATGTACTGTATTGTGAAGGACACACAATGAGAAACAGCAATGGTCTGTGCATTATGTATGAAGCTGTGTGTTTGCCTCCCCAATATCCCCATACAGACTGAGCTTTCCCCAGCCATCTAAGCAGGCTGGAAGAAACATGGACATCGTGGCTAGCTCCACATTGCCCTCTAGTGGGTGAGTTGAGTATGATTTCAATGTCAGAACAGCCTCAAACTTGATGAATCAGCTGGTCAGATTTTCACCCCGAAACAAATACTGTACAATAAGGATTTGTTTTCATTCCTCTTTGTTTTACAAATGGGATACCCGGTTGTAGTCAGTTAATGTTAGAGATATCACTATGGTCTATGTAAGGTCAATGTGAATTCCTGAAGAGCTATAATATACTGTATTAATAATACATAGTCAAGTTTGTCTGACAGTTATTCAAAGCTAGTTTATGTATTGATTCGAAGTCCACTGCTATACATTTGTTTTTCATATTTATTTTCTCTAATTACAAAAGTGTTTTCCCCTTTACATTATATATACACTGTACATAGTTTGTTTCTGTAGCATGTAAAAGGTTATGTATGGCTAGCCTACACCCGTTTGTTCACATTTCAAAGTTGAGCAATGAGCATTACAGATTACATACTGCAGTGGAAGAAACCCTCAACTCCAACAAAACAATTCCTCATTTCTAAAATAAACAGATAAATGTAACAGCCAAGCCAGCTGGGTTTTGCATTGGAAGGTGTCAAGTTGAAAACTCCTCACTAGTGGCTCTATTCAATCTGTATCTCGGAAGTCAGCGTTACAGCGTGATTTAAATTAAATGGCAATGTTCCTGCGTTAGCAGACTGCATTCACGGTAAACGCTGCATATGTCGGCTCAATTGGAAATGACCTCAATTTATAGAGCGCAATGTCTAACGCTTCAGCGATACTGATTGAATAGAGCCCTAAGGTTTGGATCTACAACGCCCCGTTGTGAGACTGACAGATGAAACTTTAACAAGTCAAAAGTTGTGTAAAAGCGCAAGAAAATCTCAATGTTACAGCAGCCTTTGAAATGTTATGAGGATTTTGAATAAAATATGACCAGAGCTTCTCCTGTGTAACTGACCAGTCTGATACCTACCCACCAATCTAGTCTTTAGGTTATAGCTTCACTGTCTGTATTGTGTGTGGAAAAGAAATATGTACCCAGGTCCTGTTTTGAACTCCCACACTGTCATTGTGTAACCTGGAAACAATATGAAAAATTACCTAACCACTGTTAGCCCTGAATCCACAAAGTTTTTCAGTTTATCTAAGCAACCAATTAAACAATCACTCATATGCATTCTTTTTTTACCAAAAGTCAGAAATTACTCCATCCGTCCAATAAAATAGTGGAAACTTTTCCCATCTGCGTGTACATGCCCAATCAATCAACAGCATTCACTCCAACAAACAAAATATGGAAACAAAAATAATAACAATGACATTAACAAATGTATTAAGGCGTTTTATATACCTTGTACAATGTATACATTTGACATGCTATTGTAGAACTAGAAAAGGTATTAACATAACCATTTACATTTTTTGGTCTTTTTAGGTAGAAAAAAACGAAGCCATCCAAGCAGACCAAAAGCAAACCATCATACCCATTTTACTGACTTATGTCCATAGAACAAGGTCTAAATTATGTTGTGGGAATTCTAAAACAAAAAAAGAAATTCTCTATTGGTATTCCTGATACAGGACTGTTTTAATGTATAAAAAAATAACTGATAGTACAGTTCAAAATTAAATTCACAGTACTCTTTTGGGCGCAAAAAAACAAAATAAAAACTAACAGGTCCACAGCCATAAGCGATAACATGATTATTATTATCCTTTTTAAAATCCTTCAATGAGTTAAGGATAGAAATGATATCTCAGTGAAAGCGAGTAAAGAGGAGGATGCAGAGGGAGGGAATCTTCTCCAGTGACGGGTTGAGAGAGAATTGTAGCCTTTAGAAAGAGAGAAAAAAAGTCAATCGAAAGCAACAAAGAGCTGGCAATGTCCTCATGTCTGTCAGGGTAGATGTGGTGGTGTTAAGTGCACACGTAGTCACAACCGCCCAGCCGCATGGGGCCTGGGCCAGCTCATTCTCTTCCAGACGGTACTCACTCCTCCATAACGTTTCCCTCCATTTTCTTTTCATCAAAGCGAAAACAGTTTGGTACCAACAACTCCAGCCATAAAGATATGTGGATAATGGTGATAAACTTGCAGCCAACTGAAGTCATATCAAAACAGGTCATTACCTAGGCAACAAAAACAGTTTCCCCCCCCTTCAGTTCTTATTCGATTATTTAACCAAGTGGATCAGTTCTCTGAAGAGGAATAAGTCTCATTTTAACAAAGTCCTGAGTCTTCCACTGAGCAGCAGTTGAGATGGTTAAGCTCCAGGCTTCTTTTTTGTTTACACGTGTATATATTAATTATTTATCATAAATGTCCATTGAGTGACAAGTGTTTACCGAGAAAAAACCCAGAACTCTTTAAAAAAGAATCTAATAGAATCTTTAAAACATTTAGTGTGGTAAAAATACAGTATATTCCCAATAAGTCAGCACCACGTTCAAATATTTGGGATGACATTCCTGTTGCATTTCACTTTTCCATAAAGGTTGATTTTTACAGTATTCCAAGTCTGCAATGGGAGAGAGGGGAGAGATGTGTTATGTTTGCATACAGTCCCATTACAGTATGTAGACAATGAAGAAGATAAGTTGAAACCGGCTACTGTTTCCATTCATAAGCACGCATAGTCAAGCATAGAGATTCTCAGAGTAAGACAGACATAAAAGAAAGATACTTACATTGTTCTGTTGCTCTCCGGTCAAAACAGAGAAAATCTAATGTCTAAGGTAATTCATTGTACAGTCCATTGGTAGAACATCCGTGGGAGTTTCCATTGGGTCGACTGAAGCAATTACCTACAACAGAAAAACATTATGGTCAAAATTATTGATGAACAGTGACAAACTGAAAAGAAATGACTGGACCTGATATCTATAGAAACCATTGTATGGTCCATCATCTAAATCAGCTCTTTTCTTACCTGTGTGCCCGTTGAGGTTGTGGTGTGATGCGTTGTGAGGGGTTGCTGTTGGCGATCCATTGCGAGAGGAGGAGCGGTCTTTTTCGTGGTCATCAGAGCGATGGCGTTTCTCGGGGTAGCTGTTGTCATAGCCATCATCGTCCTGGTAACGTCGCTTCCTGCTCGCCCTCTCCTTGTCGCTGCTGTTCGCCCTGCGACCCACCCAGGGGGCGTTGGGGTCGCGGTGCCCCTCGGAACTCTGGGTAGAGCGGGTCTCACCCCCCGACTTCTCGTCCTCCGTGTCGTGCCTCCTCGTCCTTTTCTTCTTCTTGTGTTTGGAGTACCTGCTGCCGTCAGCAGCCCTGTCAGAGGAATCCACGCTAGAGGTCCTGGAAGAAAGAACACCCAGGTCAGGGTTAAAGTAACAACTGAACTAATTTCTCTGGCACCTTCTCTATTATTGTGGAGGCAATAAAATACACTTAGAAAGAAAAGACGGCCTTACCCATTCTCTCCATGCCTCTCTTTGTCCTTGGACTTCTTCTTCTTGCTCTTCTTATGTTTCTTGTCCCGACGCTCCTCAGAGCTGTCCTCTCTCAGAGGCTCGGGTCGTTTCTCCAGGGCTGGTCTGGCTGGGGAGAGGTCTGGGCGAGGGGGGGACTGACTGGCCTTGGTGATGGAGCTCAGTGGGGTCTCCTCCTGTGAAGGGTAGTAACCCCTCTTACCTTCACCCCTCTCCTCCCTCCACCTCGAGCGTCCGTGAGGCTCCTCTCTGTGAGGAAGGCTGTGCTCCCTCCTTTCCCTCTCCCTGTTCTCTCTGGGTCTGTGGTAGTGGTGGTGGTGGTGGCAGCGGTCCCTGTCCCGGTCTCTGGGGTGGTAGGCGTTCCTCTCCCAGCGACGCTCACACTCCCAGTCCCGGTGTCTGTCCCGGCTGGCCGAGCGATCACGGTACGACCGGTGGTGTTCTCGGTCTCGGTGGTCCCGCCGGTGTCGATAGCGGTCTGAGTCACGGTCCCAGTTGCGTTCACGGCTCCTGTCACGGTGGTACCTATTCCTTTCTCCGTCTTTATCCCGGTCAGAAGAGTAAAGCCGCTCTCGATCCCTATCACGGTCCGAAGAATATAGTCGGTCTCTCTCCTTATCTCGATCAGAAGAGTTCAACCCGTCTTTCTCCTTATTCCGATCGGAAGAATACATCCGGTCTCTTCCCTCTCTGGAGCTGGTCTTGCCGTCCAGCCGTCCATCCACCCCTGCTGCTGGGCTGTTCTCGATCTCCCTGACGTCCTCCCCAGATCTGCTGTGTGGTGCTCCTAGGCCTTTTATGGCCCCCAGGCCTGGTCCAGAGAGAGGCTGGGAGGAGACTGGGGTGCTGAGGGAGCGGGGGTTGGGCTGGAGGGGTAAGGCCCCAGGGTTGGAGGTGGAGCTGGATTCCCTCAAGGCATCGGTAGGTGGCTTAGCGCCAACATCTGCCAATGAGGATGGCGGGTTAGCAGCGGTTGATGGTGCGTGGTGAGGGAGGGGGTCAGAGTGAGTTTTAGTCCTTTTCTCTGGTGTCGGGGAGATGTGGCTGTCGCTGTCTGCACTCTGCAGGCTCTGAGAGGTGCTGGCCTGGCTGGGGTTGGCGCTATACACCTCATTGCTGAAAAAAAAAAAAAACAAGTACATCAATAACATTCTTTAACAAAGTGTATATCAAAATGATCATGAGAGAATCTGATAAAACAAAATAGGCAAAACATAATCTAACGCTGCGTGCACACAGGTTATTGCCGTACGGTACATCTTCCCAATCCATGCGCCGCATCACAACAAAAAGTATCACGCTACACATTAGCAACTTCTTTGGTGGTTTACTACTGGTACCGCACGGCAAAGCAACACGTGTGACACATTGCACACAGTCCCATGCACCGCAACCTAGTCCGGCAGATGAGTCGCAGCAGTGCAGATTGCCTCCCAATGAAATGAACAGACTTCTGCCAGAACGCATAGTTTGACGCAACCGGTGTGCACGAGGCATAACACTCACCTTGGGCCACTGTGGTGAGACTCCGCCCCATTAGAAATGCTGGGACCCAACCCAGGAGACATTACATGACCGCTGCCGTTGACCTGCACAACAAACACACAGATAATACACAGGTGATTATGTGTGTGAATCCTTCTGCAAACGCAATGTGATTTGTGGATTCAAGTAAAGTATTTAAAATATGTTTGTGTGTCTTGACTGATTATAAGTACCTTCTCCAGGTGTTTGATGCCATTGACTTTGTGGTGTCCGTTCTGATGTCCAATCTGGCTGAGTTTGGAGAAGCCTTTAGTCCCGTTGGCCTCGGACCCATTATGGTGCATGGTGGCCTGGCTGTTACTGATGCCGTTGGTCTTGAGGGCCAGAACTCTGGGGACGGGGCCGTAGACGGTTCCTCCCTTCCTCCCGTTAACGTGAGGCTTGGCCGTGCCGTTCTCCAGACCGCTGCCTCCCTCCTGGTCCGACTCCTCCGATGACTCCTGGCCGTACGGCACCAGGAACGAGGCTCCGTGACCGTTGCCGTTACCGGAGGGCGTGCCGTTAACGTGAGGAGCCCGGGGCGCGGGCATGTCTGAGGTAAACTGTGACGAAGAGCAGGAGGACGGCTTGGCGAAAGAGGAGGAAGAGGATGATGAGGAGGGGCGGCTCTGTTTGCCCTGACCGATGAAGAAGGAGAGCTTCTGGCGCTTGGCAGTGTCAGGGATGCCTGTGGGATGGCTGAGAGGATGAGAGGAGGAGGAGGAGGAGGAAGACGACGAAGAGAGCAGGCCGTAGCTAGTCTTGCCCATGCTGCTGCTGCTGACGCCACTGCTGGTGCTGGGCTTAGAGCCAGAGGGGTAGTCCCTTAGGGAGCCGTTCCCATTGATGTGAAAGGTGTTCTGGGGAAAAAATACAGTTATTACACATCTTACTTTTGAACAGACGATTGTGCAGAGGCTGGTGTGTGTGTGTGTGGAGGCTGTACCTTGGCCATGTGTGGGGGCAGCTGTGGCCCTATGAAGCCAGTGTTGGTGTGTCGTGGCCCAATGTTGACCCGGGGTGTGAGGATGGGGCGGGGGGAAGACTGTCCGGGGGGCCGACTCATGTGGTTGTAGTCCCCTCCGTTCTTCAGATCAGGTGACCTGGTGGCCAGAACAGGCAGCACCCATCACAGAAGAAAAAAACTCAACCACTAAAAGACATCTTTCTAAACAAAAAAGGGAAAACCTGCACAGGACTATTGCATCGTCAAGCAGAATTCATTTTAGAAACAGACGTAATGCTACAAGGCTCAGATATATTTTTCACCATTCAAACGAGTGAATGGGAGCTAGCTACTCACCTGATGTAGAAGAGGACGTAAGCCTGCTGGTTGAGGACTGATCTGATGTCACTGACCGACACAGAGGAGTCATTCATCTGGTGCCACTGGCCGTTGCTAGCCTGACAGAGAAAGAAGGGAAGGAGAAAGAGGAGAGAAACTATTATAGACATGCATCCCACAAACATACAGTACGTCACACTGACACCATAGTAACCATTACCATCACCCCCTGTAGAAGACAGGTGTAATCAAATACATCAGGCTTACATAGAAGTGGTGAGAGGCTTATTCGCTTGGGGGTTTTAATCAAGCTCTCTCATTGATTGATTGTGTGTTTGGGAGCAGTCTTAACAGTGGTTTTGTGTCTATGTTGGGGCTTACCTTGACGTAGCAATAGTAGTGTCCAGCGTGACAGCTGAAGCCAGAGTGCACCAGGACAGCGTAGAGCACATAGACCTGAGGCTCCCCGTGGGACTGAGACATGAATGGACGCAGGTCCAGGCACTCAGGATACCTCACGTCCTAAGGGAGAGAGAGCAAGGCAATGTCAGATGAGATCTACAATTAAAGCTTTCAGTAAAAATGTGACCTGTACAACTGTTTGTCTTAAAGAAGTGGTTAATGTTTCTGTTACTAATAATGTTCTCTGAACTTACCTTAGCAATCTTGCCCCCGTTGTAGTTGGCGAAGCGCTTCAGTGAGATGGTGAGCACGTTGGAGCTGCGGTGAATGGTGAATCTCTTAGAGGCTGGAACCATCTTCTTACACCTGCACAAACACAGTTGGAGCAGTTATAAAAACCATGAAACGAGGAAACTAAACACGCAGTTCACTAGGTTGCAATAACACTGGTTTAGGCAGCACTATGCTGAGATTACCAATAAATGAATACAGATATACTCACTTAGTGCATTTGTAGGCATTCTCTCCATCTAGCTGCTCAGGCTTAACAAACTGCTCCAGAGCTTTGGTGATACTGGGAGCAGTCTGAAAGGTAACATGGATGACAACTGTCAATGATGCATTCTTAGAAAGACACCAAAAGGTTTGACTGGCTTCCCCATTGTACAGCATGAAAGGTAGTTCACTGTTACCTTTATTTCCAAAGCGACATCCAAATAAGGGTCAAACGTGTCAGAGACTGCTTTGCAGTTTAAACATTTTACTGTAAAAAGACAGCATAGAGACAATTATTAGATAATCTTACCTATTAACAAATATGACAAAGTCATCTAAATGGTGTTCTAAATGGTGTACAGCAGCAAACAAAGTATATCAATCAAATGTATTTTATAAAGTTTCTTTACATTAGCAGTTGTCACATAGTGCTTTACAGATACCTAGTCTAATACTCCAAAAAGCAAGCAATGCTTGTATCTGCGTCAGTAAAATAAATATAGACAGGGTTCTGATTAAAATATATATATATACACACACACAGCAAAAAATATTTAAACTCAGCAAAAAAAGAAATGTCCCTTTTTCAGGACCCTGTCTTTCAAAGATAATTCGTAAAAATCCAAATAACTTCACAGATCTTCATTGCAAAGGGTTTAAACACTGTTTCCCATGCTTGTTCAATGAACCATAAACAATTAATGAACATACACCTGTGGAACGGTCGTTAAGACACTAACAGCTTACAGACAGTAGGCAATTAAGGTCACAGTTATGAAAACTTTGGACACTAAAGAGGCCTTTCTACTGACTCTGAAAAACACCAAAAGAAAGATGCCCAGGGTCCCTGCTCATCTGCGTGAACGTGCCTTAGGCATGCTGCAAGGAGGCATGAGGACTGCAGATGTGGCCAGGGCAATAAATTGCAATGTCCGTACTGTGAGACGCCCAAGACAGCGCTACAGGGAGACAGGACGGACAGCTGATCGTCCTCGCAGTGGTAGACCACGTGTAACAACACCTGCACAGGATTGGTACATCCGAACATCACACCTGCGGGTCAGGTACAGGATGGCAACAACAATTGCCCGAGTTACACCAGGAACGCACAATCCCGCCATCAGTGCTCAGACTGTCCGCAATAGGCTGAGAGAGGCTGGACTGAGGGCTTGTAGGCCTGTTGTAAGGCAGGTCCTCACCAGACATCACCGGCAACAACGTCGCCTATGGGCACAAATCCACCGTCACTGGACCAGACAGGACTGGCAAAAAGTGCTCTTCACTGACGAGCCGCAGTTTTGTCTCACCAGGGGTGATGGTCGGATTCTCGTTTATCTTCGAAGGAATGAGTTACACCGAGGCCTATACTCTGGAGCGGGATCGATTTGGAGGTGGAGGGTCCGTCATGGTCTGGGGCGGTGTGTCACAGCATCATCGGACTGAGCTTGTTGTCATTGCAGGCAATCTCAACGCTGTGCGTTACAGGGAAGACATCCTCCTCCCTCATGTGGTACCCTTCCTGCAGGCTCATCCTGACATGACCCTCCAGCATGACAATGCCACCAGCCATACTGCTCGTTCTGTGTGTGATTTCCTGCAAGACAGGAATGTCAGTGTTCTGCCATGGCCAGCGAAGAGCCCGGATCTCAATCCCATTGAGCACGCCTGGGACCTGTTAGATCGGAGGGTGAGGGCTAGGGCCATTCCCCCAGAAATGTCAGGGAACTTGCAGGTGCCTTGGTGGAAGAGTGGGGTAACATCTCACAGCAAGAACTGGCAAATCTGGTGCTGTCCATGAGGAGGAGATGCACTGCAGTACTTAATGCAGCTGGTGGCCACACCAGATACTGACTGTTACTTTTGATTTTGACCCCCCATTTGTTCAGGGACACATTATTCCATTTCTGTTAGTCACATGTCTGTGGAACTTGTTCATTTTATGTCTCAGTTGTTGAATCTTGTTATGTTCATACAAATATTTACACATGTTAAGTTTGCTGAAAATAAATGCAGTTGACAGTGAGAGGACGTTTCTTTTTTTGATGAGATAGTCAAAAGTTTGGACACACCTACTCATTTTTTTTTGTACATTGTAGAATAATAGTGAAGACATCAAAAGTATGAAATAACACATATGGAATCATGTAGTAACCAAAAAAAGCGTTAAACAAATCAAAATATATTTTATATTTGAGATTCTTCATAATAGCCACCCTTTGCCCTGACAGCTTTGCACACTCTTGGCATTCTCTCAACCAGCTTAATGAGATAGATCATTAACATGTGTGCCTTCTTTAAAGTTAATTTGTGGAATTTTTAATGCGTTTGAGACAATCAGTTGTGTTGTGACAAGGTAGGGGGGTATACAGAAGACAGCCCTATTTGGTAAAAGACCAAGTCCATATTATGGCAAGAACAGGTCAAATAAGCAAAGAGAAACAACAGTCCATCATTACTTTAAGACATGAAGGTCAGTCAATACGGAACATTTCAAGAACTTTTAGAGTTTCTTCAAGTCCTGTGTAGCTCAGTTGGTAGAGCATGGCGTTTGCAATGCCAGGGTTGTGGGTTCGAATCCCACGGGGGGCCAGTATGAAAAAAAAATGTATGCACTCACTAACTGTAAGTCGCTCTGGATAAGAGCGTCTGCTAAATAGCACTAATAAGCGTACCTCTGGACCTTAGATACCCTCCAAAGACTTGATGGATGAAACTGGTTGCCTGCGTTTGCCTGTCCAATCTGTTGAAAAAGGAAACGTCAAACCATTAAAGATGCTAATCAGCGACTCCCAATAGCTTCAAAGGAAATTGCCTGCTATGTGTACACACGGGATCATTTAAATCAAGATAGCCTTAATTTAATTTCTCATTGGGACACAATGTCCTAGCCCTTTGAGGAGGAAGAAACAGCAGAGGAAATAGAGCAAAAGTAATTTGCAGAGTGTAGGGTCAACCTGTTGGAGGGCAGAATAGCCCTCCACTCTACATGGGAGGAGGGCGTCCTAAAGTCAGTTAAGGGTCCCTAGTGTATAGGAGATGGTCACTGAAACATGATTTATTAATCATGTCTCACTCTGTGCTGTAAGTGAAATGTGGGTCAGATGATATGTGAGTTTCAGTGAAACACCTACTTGCTTCCAGGCAGGCAGGACTTTTGCATAGCGTCCAGTGTGTACCGCAGGAACTCATGGGCGTCCTCTTGGCTGCCGAAACGGAAATGCTTTGCAATCCCTGCACAGGTGTGATAGAGGTGTAGACAGGTGAAGAAGCTGCATAATAAATGACAGACTTTGACCCTGTCAGTTTTCCCTCCAACAAATACAGCATCAACTCTATATTTTTGGGAGGGAAAACTATTTTGCTGACTAGGTTTCCCAGAATTCTGCACCTGTGACGCAGTCCCAACTCTCCATCGAATTTTGGAGGGAAAACTATTTTGCTGACAGGTTGGTTAGCTGTAATGGCTTTCAACACGTTTGCACAAAGACTAATTCCTATCCACATTGTGCAAAAGTGTTCACCCCCTCTGATTCCAAAGTAAATACCACTCACGTTTGAGCTCATTGAGGACTCCGATGGGCTTGATGACATTCCCAGAGTTGGCAAAGACCTGGGTGATGTGATTCTGCATGGTGCACATCATACAGAATCCAGGTTCGTGACCTGAACATCAACACAGAGGCGGTCAATCAGGAAATAGGCATTAAAAGGTCTAATGCAGCCATTTTTATCTCAATTTCAAAGCATTTCTGGGTAAAAATTATGTATCTTACTGTGATTTCTCAAGCAAGAAACTGGGGAAACTGAAAACTAGCTGTTATTGGCAAAACGGTTTGGAACTGTTTCTTATTGGTCTATTAACTAATTTACCGCCTGGTCGCCAAAACAACAGCCCACCAAAACAGGCAGATATTCCAGGCAGTCTTTTCAAACAGCTCTTACATTAAAAAGGGAATTATCATAATTTTCACAATTTCACAGTATTATTCCAAGTTCATAGTGTGGAAATGTATATAAAACACAGGGGAAAACTTGACTGCACTGGGACATTAAGCAAAGAACCAACATACACTTTGATCAATTTGAAGCCGCTCTTCTTTGTCTAAATATTACTTTTGTTTATTTTATTTCTCTTTCTAACCTTCTCCTGCTATGCGTGTGCATTACGAAAATGTAATATGAATAAAAGAGCCCCTGGTTCTATTCTCCACATACATGTTTTAGAGTGCTCCCGGGACAGCATGTAGTTGCTGAGGGGAGCTGTGTAGGTGAGACACTGCAGAGCCGAGTTGAGGAAGCAGGTGTTTCCCAGGTTCTGGAGACCTGATCCGATGCGGTGGACCTGGTTCCACTTCAGGCTGAGCCGCTCAGCGGGGAACAGCACCTTCTGGGGCAAGGCGATGCCGTCCCCACTGGTCATCACCACTGCAGAGGGGAAAGGGAAACCAATGGCAAAATACATACTGAAAGCCATGACAAAAGGAGTGTTGCCTGGTAGATAAACCAGTGGGAATACATCTCTGAAAGTGGTCTTAGGAAAGGTCTTTTTTTTTACTGCTTCCAACTTCAAGGCACTTTCAAATTGACAATCCATTTCTTTGAATTGAAAGCTAGGGCATATTTGATGGATGGGTGGGGAAGGCAGAAAGATGCTGTGTTTCTTGTTTACTGACATAACATGTACCCTGAACCATAGATCCTGTGGCACCACATCAGGCTATTGATTTATACCCCTCAACGAACAATATGGTTACATAACTGGGCCAGTATAATAGAAACACCTAGGGGAACCGGTTCAGGCAGTCACTTATAAGAAGACATCTGGGAAACCACAGCTACTCAACTCAGCACTCCCTGTTTGGAATGTAGTCTTGAAAGATTTCATTCATTACAATCTGGCATGCATTACATTTTTCAATACTATTTTCCAATGAATGAAGGTCCTTTCCTTCTGTCATTTTATGCATTTGGAGCCCTGCACCCAAAGATACCGGGCAATTCCACGGTAACGGAATTATGCTTTGACTCAGTTTTTTCCCACTTTAAATTGTATGCCAAACAACAACCATTGATTTGAAAGTTTAACAAACATACAGCCCCACCTTCCTGGCTATAATACCAGGGCTTGCATTCATTTCCTCAATTCAGTTCCGCTCTTCAGCGAGCACAAATCCCCTGATGGCGCAGGGCCAAAATATGTTATACCTAATTCCCTCCTTCAGGGAACAGTAGTTACAGTGGGGCAAAAAGTATTTAGTCAGCCACCAATTGTGCAAGTTCTCCCACTTAAAAAGATGAGAGAGGCCTGTAATTTTCATCATAGGTACACGTCAACTATGACAGACAAAATGAGAAAGAAAAAATCCAGAAAATCACATTGTAGGATTTTTAATGAATTTATTTGCAAATTATGGTGGAAAATAAGTATTTGGTCAATAACAAAAGTTTCTCAATACTTTGTTATATACCCTTTGTTGGCAATGACACAGGTCAAACAAGTCTAAGTCTTCACAAGGTTTTCACACACTGTTGCTGTTATTTTGGCCCATTCCTCCATGCAGATCTCCTCTAGAGCAGTGATGTTTTGGGGCTGTCGCTGGGCAACACAGACTTTCAACTCCCTCCAAAGATTTTCTATGGGGTTGAGATCTGGAGACTGGCTAGGCCACTCCAGGACCTTGAAATGCTTCTTACGAAGCCACTCCTTCGTTGCCCGGGCGGTGTGTTTGGGATCATTGTCATGCTGAAAGACCCAGCCACGTTTCATCTTCAATGCCCTTGCTGATGGAAGGAGGTTTTCACTCAAAATCTCACGATACATGGCCCCATTCATTATTTCCTTTACACAGATCAGTCGTCCTGGTCCCTTTGCAGAAAAACAGCCCCAAAGCATGATGTTTCCACCCCCATGCTTCACAGTAGGTATGGTGTTCTTTGGATGCAACTCAGCATTCTTTGTCCTCCAAACACGACGAGTTGAGTTTTTACCAAAAAGTTATATTTTGGTTTCATCTGACCATATGACATTCTCCCAATCCTCTTCTGGATCATCCAAATGCACTCTAGCAAACTTCAGACGGGCCTGGACATGTACTGGCTTAAGCAGGGGGACACGTCTGGCACTGCAGGATTTGAGTCCCTGGCGGCGTAGTGTGTTACTGATGGTAGGCTTTGTTACTTTGGTCCCAGCTCTCTGCAGGTCATTCACTAGGTCCCCCCCGTGTGGTTCTGGGATTTTTGCTCACCGTTCTTGTGATAATTTTGACCCCACGGGGTGAGATCTTGCGTGGAGCCCCAGATCGAGGGAGATTATCAGTGGTCTTGTATGTCTTCCATTTCCTAATAATTGCTCCCACAGTTGATTTCTTCAAACCAAGCTGCTTACCTATTGCAGATTCAGTCTTCCCAGCCTGGTGCAGGTCTACAATTTTGTTTCTGGTGTCCTTTGACAGCTCTTTGGTCTTGGCCATAGTGGAGTTTGGAGTGTGACTGTTTGAGGTTGTGGACAGGTGTATTTTATACCGATAACAAGTTCAAACAGGTGCCATTAATACAGGTAACGAGTGGAGGACAGAGGAGCCTCTTAAAGAAGAAGTTACAGGTCTGTGAGAGCCAGAAATCTTGCTTGTTTGTAGGTGACCAAGTACTTATTTTCCACCATAATTTGCAAATAAATTCATTACAAATCCTACAATGTGATTTTCTGGATTTTTTTTTCTAATTTTGTCTGTCATAGTTGACGTGTACCTATGATGAAAATTACAGGCCTCTCTCATCTTTTTAAGTGGGAGAACTTGCACAATTGGTGGCTGACTAAATACTTTTTTCCCCCACTGTATATTCATAACTGTATGTTCCCTTTCAGTCGGTCACTCGGTATAACATACTATGGGGACTTAGAATCACGCCCCAAGCCTGCTCAGAGTGTACCAAACTAGGAGGCCCACCAACAGCCCAAGCACACACAGATCCCACCGGCTCCAAAAAGGGGTTACAGAAGACACCTATTCCCCAAACACTTATCGGAAAAGCCTGAACTGTCAGAGCCTCACGAGGCCTGAACTGTCAGAGTCCCATATAGGGAACCAGAACCTGCTGTAACTTGGCTATGGATATTGACACGCTGCCACTGCAGCCCAAATCCATAGACCCAAAGGTTCCAAGAACAATACTTACAGTGCGAGCCTGAAATGACAGAACACGTACAAGGGACCGCAAGTCCAAAACAGAACATCTGTCGTGACTTGGTAAAGAACACACGCGCACTGCATATCATTGACCAGAGTCGATGAACCACGGCAGCCCGAGGCTCAAACCCACAGGAAACCTGCAGGAACCCGTCTACTTGCGCGCTGCCAAGGCAGCCCAAGGCTCAAACCCACAGGAAACTGTGCTAACCTTGATATTGCACACTTTACGCGCTGCTGCATCCCAAGGCAGCCCAAGTTTCAAACCCACAGGGAATTGTGGTAACTCAGATAAAATGCGCAACCTGTGCGCTGCCTAACACACACTCCCGGACCCAGCCATAAGACTATGAGCCACACTGGGAGCAGTTACATCCAAGCGATAAAACCACAAAGCGGAACAACAACTCGCTGCAGCACAGATATCACCAATCATCATGCCCCTAAACAATGCCCAAGCAGCCGCCACACCCCTGGTGGAGTGAGCACGCACACCGCTAAGCAACCCTTGCCCTTTGCTGTAAAGATACTGCTTAGAAAGCGACCTATCCCGAGCTGGATCAGCAAAACTGACCAGCTTTTTGTCTCAAACGTGGATATCCTTGGTCATATCCATATACACCGAGTGTACAAAACATTAAGGATACCTGCTCTTTCCAAGACAGACTGATCAGGTGAATGTTATGATCCCTTATTGATGTCACTTGTTAAATCATTTACATTTTAGTCACTTAGCAGACGCTCTTATCCAGCGTGACTTACAGGAGCAATTAGGGTTGAGTGCCTTGCTCAAGGGCACATCAACATATTTTTCAGCTAGTTGGCTCGGGATTCTAACCAGCGACCTGGCCCAATGCTCTTAACTGCTAGGCTTCCACTTCAAATCAGTAAAGGGGAGGAGACAGGTTACAGATGGATTTTTAAGCCTTGAGACATGGATTGTGTATGTGTGCCATTCAGAGGGTAGGACAAAAGATTTAAGTGCCTTTGGATATGGTAGTAGGTGCCAGGCGCACTGGTTTGTGTCAAGAACTGCAACGCTGCTGGGTTTTTCCACACTCAACAGTTTCCCATGTGTATCAAGAATGGTCCACCACCCAAAGGCCATGCAGCCAACTTGACAACTGTGGGAAGCATTGGATTCAACATGGGCCAGCATACCTGTGGAACACTTGACACCTTGTAGAATCCATGCCCCGATGAATAGAGTCTGTTCTAGGGGGGGTGCAACTCAATATTAGGAAGGTATTCATAATGCTTTGTACACGTGCATAAAGCGCCCACTGGACACAGGCCATGCAACCTCTGGAACAGCTTTCCCAGTTTGACAACAGATGCCACTCCGGCGGGAGAAATCAATAGGCGAATATCTCAGCCAATCACAACACTGGTGGGTAAGTAATACTGTGAAACACTATCATTCCACTATTAGTGCCAGATATATTATGGACATTTTCTGAAATTACAAAGCAACAATTTAAAAAATCTCATATGTAGCACCTTTAAAGATATGTGGGTTTTTGGAAACGGAATTACAAGACAATATAACTTACAGAAGGCACACAATTTCAATTACTAAATACAATTGTTGATATTAGTTTATGTCAACATTATTGTGTTTTGATGCATTTCTGATATCTTTTAAGACTTTTTCTGGTAGATGTTTTCTAAGACCCCTTTTCCATCTGTTTATCCAGAAATCAAAGCCTTTACTTATGCCAAATTTTTAAGGTGGAAAATGGTTGAAAGATGCATCTATGCCTTCATTTCCCAAAAATATAGACTCTGCCATTTGACACTCAATTTGATATGCTGCTATAAACGTCACGTTGGTGCTCATGGGTCCTTTTCGATGGAAATGCCCTACGTTTTCTACTATATCAGTTAGCGTTAAAAGACTTCCAAATTGAGCACATCAACCCTCCTCACCTTGCTCCTTGGGCCTGTCTGCGGTGATGGCAGCACTGCTGCTGTAGACAGTGGCTCCAGGGGTGGGGCCCATGCAGCCCCCTGTCTTCACCCTGGGGGTGTCGGAGGACGAGGGGCCCCCCGCCCCCCAGCTGGAGCAGCCGCCGTCCATCCCGTTCCCGTCGCCACCAGGGAAGGTCAGCGATCCGGAGCGCTTGCACCCGACTGACTCGTGGTCAGACTTCTCTGAAGCTCTGTCAACTATGGTCATTGTTCATTGCTGTTGGACAAAAACAAATAAATACAGAGGATGTTAGATAATGCTGTTTCTTTAGCTACTACAATTAACCTAGATCCTACACAGCAACAATGGATTGTCTGTAATATCATCATGTCACAATGTGACTAACATGTTTCCAGTGCCTAAATCAACTGAAATTGTTTGCTTTGCCGGGTAGGATTTCAGTGCGTAGGTAGCCCCAATCACACAGAGCATCTACCAGGATTGACCCACTAAATGACCAGCAGGTGGTCTGTCTGGTGGTGTAAATGGGTCATATAAGTCATGTAGACAACACATGGCCATGGGATATAAAAGCAAAAGTAGCCTCTCTCTCAGAGGGAAAATGAGTTCTGCAGACAGTGTAATAGCTTCAAAGGCATGCTCTGCTTAGGTTTTGCATTGAATTTACATGCGACACAGAGCTCACTTTCAAGTTAGGTTTAGTGATAAGTTTAGTGACTGCAAGTTGTAACAAAACATTACAACAAAGTGAACAGCATTTGCTCCAGGGACTACAGCCCAATCCCAAATGGACCCTATGCTCCAGTGGAGATCGGAGAAAATTTGAGAAGTGCGAACAATATGGAAATAGCTCCACCTTGTCCTCTGATAGGTTAGGTAGAAGTTTCACCATATTGCGACTAATTAGATCCTTTCAGACCGCCACAAGTGTATAGGGTGTAGGGTCTAGGGGTCAGCGTTTGAGTTGCATCTGGGACACACTGGTTCCATATATGGCTAGTAGATACGTTTGAGACACACAACTTTACTAAAATGCCACCAAATGATATCACTACACTAAAAGTCAGTAGTCTAAACTATATTTGCTTGTTTCGTCACATAAACTGAAATTAGGCTAAGTATTACAATTTTAGCAACCAGGAAATGGAGGAGTGATTTTTAAGAGTAAGCAAAGTAATCGTGTCAGGTGAAAATGATATCAAACATTTTACCATTGCAACATTTGACAGTCACATTCACTGTGGTTGTCTGAAGCATGCACAGCTAGCGATGCCTCATTGCGATTTCTCATTGCGATTTGTTAGTCCCCATCATTTCCAACAATGTCAATGAGCGTCATCACTATTTATATTTTACGGTACCTCAAACTGTTTTGATTACCTGCTGAGATAAACTTATGAGTTGATTTTACACCGGGCTCAGACTTTGTCTGGGCAGTGTCTTAACATGATCCTAAAACCTACTCTGAGCTGGGAGTTTTTTTAGTCTTAGAAAACAGGTTTTAACAGGATTCCTAGGACCTTTTCTGTGATGCTTTGTGGATACGGGCCCTGGTCTCGTCTCCACGCAACTGGTGAAGTTCATCATAATCTTCCTTCACCATGGAGTGGAGTTTAGTCCACTAGTAAGGTCCTTGGACTATAAGGAGTATTTTAGGCTCCTTTAGTCCATTATTAGGGTAAGGTTTAAAGGTGAAATGTGCAGAATCGCAATGCCAGTTCCTGGTTGCAAAAATTATAATAGTTTGCCTGATTTTAGTTCAGTGGGGCGGCAGGTAGCTTAGTGGTTAAGAGCGTTGTGCCAGTAACTGAAAGGTCGCTGGTTCTATGCCCTGAGCCGACTAGGTGAAAAGTCTGTCGATGTGCCCTTGAGCAAGGCACTTAACCCTAATTGCTCCTGTAAGTCACTCTGGATAAGAGCGTCTGCTAAATGACTTTAAAAATGTGATAAAACAAGCAATGTAGAGCAGGGGTATTCAACTCTTACCCTACGAGGTCCAGAGCCTGCTGGTTCTGTTGTACCTGGTAAATTATTGCACACACCTGGTATCCCAGGTCTAAATCAGTTCCTGATGGGAAAACGCTTCGAGGTTACAGAGTTCAGTCTGAGGGGTGTAGAGAATAATTGTACCATTTAAACAATGGGAAAACGCTTCGAGGTTACAGAGTTCAGTTTGAGGGGTGTAGAGAATAATTGTACCATTTAAACCGCTTAGAAATATATTTTCAATAACAAGAAAACATAGTATTTTCCACTGTTCAGCTGGTGTACAAAACCAAAAGTAAAAGAAGCAAAAACGAAACTTAAGGGAAGCATAGAAATATCGCACAAAAAAGATCCACCCGCTTCTTAGACTTGCTTTCAATGAGAATGACAGATCTATTACTAACACTTCTATGTGAATTTGGTGGGGTAGCACCAAACGTTATAACGAAGCTTTACGGTTAGGTACATCCCAAGGATCCCGGCTAGCACTATCGTTAACCAAATCAGAAGAGCGCAGACTTAGCTAGCCAATTAGCAAATAAATTGGCTTTCTCGGAGGTCCCAATGATTCAACCAGCATTTCAAGCATCACCATCTGCACAGCCAGTTGCCTGTGCAAGAAGCTAACTAGCATTACCACATAGAAAGCTAACAGTTAGCTAGCTGCAGTAGTAACGTTACTACCAATTAGAGACGCAATTTCCCCATTGCCGTAGTAAACTATTACTACATCACACAAATAAGCAAAATTACAACGATTAAGCTCTTAAATAAAAGTAGTATTCGTTCGATTTACAAGTGGCAGTCGTTTCAAACAAATAATGTTAACTAACTAACCAGCCATTAAAGGAATGACATTTTACAAACGCACGTTTACGACAACTGTTCCCTCCCACCTCTGCCTGGCAGTCTGGCTGGTTGAGGCTTTAACAAACGAGATAGGCCTCTAACACGCAATTCAAAAGGAGGTCAGAAAATAATTTCAAACTTTCTTACCGTGTTTTTTTAACAAATGTTCGGAAAGTAAATCATGTATTTCTTATTAACACGTTCAGAATGTCTAATTCGGAGTTGTGCGCGCATGGTAATCACAAACGCCATGGTAACGGCGAAACGTAGTTAATACTGCGGAAACATACTATGGCGTTGAGCATTGTGCTAGTTCCAATGCATGCTAGCTGGCCTTTTCAGTTGTAAAACAAATATGGTGTTTATATACGCTTTTGGGATAAACCTAAGATTTGAACGCCGAACCATTTTAGCATTCACAGGTTTATCTAACGGGAAAGATGGCTAGCAAGTTAGCTGCTAGGCTAACTACCTTCTAAAAGGAGGGGCTCGAGATTTAAAATTCACCGGTGGTTGAGCGCTTGCCTCCGACATGACACTCAGTGAGCCGCCCGGTGTAAGCCAACTACAGCAAAACCCAATGGGTTAAGTTGTTTAGAATTCTCCGAATAGACAAGTAAAATGTTCAGTATTTAATACAACAGAAATGCACTTACCTGTAATTTTTCATAAATGTATTATTCGTGTAGGTCCATTTCTTATTTCCAGCGGTAGTCCGTCGGTGAACAATGACGTAGCTATTTTCCCCACGGGTAAATCCGGGTACTACCGAAGAAAAGCAACTCTTGATTCGCTGAGGCTCGGTGTGGAACGTGTTCATAGGAGTCGTAGAAAGCACGTACACGTCTGACCTTTGTGTAGTGGATACCGTGCTCGATTTGTCTTTATACTATATTTTAAAACACAGTTGATGGGGAATTTGTATGCACGCATTATATTTGGTTCGTTTTCAATCCGTAGGTGTGTGTGCTATGCCTGTTTACGTCGAAAGCAAAGCTTATACAACTGTACTCCCAGATTATTCATGACTGTCTGAGGCATGCATAACAATAATTAAGGCAAGTGAGTGTCTTAACTAAAATTAAAGTGTGGTCAAACAAATAACCCAGCCTTATTGGCTTGATTACCTTCATCATATGAGTATGTTGATCTCAACCACAAATTATGTAAATTAATCTTGACCTGATACTCTGTCTGCAGTGTAATCCACAGACTCTCAGACGAGTGTAAATTATTTATTCTACAGTTTTAAAAAGTTAAATAATGTCACATTGTTACATCCAGGCAAAGAGACCACACATATTCAACCATTTGCACCAAATTATTCACATTTGGTAAGGTAAAGGAGTTCAATATAGCAGGCAGAGATGGTTGACTTCAGGTCTTGTCCATGGAATGAGATGCTTGTTGCGTGCTCGTGAATCTGTAGCTGACTGATCTGTCGCCTGAGTTGTGGTCCTCTGTAGCTCAATTGGTAGAGCATGGGGCTTGTATCGCCAGGGTAGTGGGTTCGATCCCTGGGACCACCCATACGTAAAAATCTATGCACACATGACTGTAAGTCGCTTTGGATAAACGTGTCTGCTAAATGGCATATTATTATTATTATTTTGAACTATCTGCTCTTCAACCCTTCTCTGCAAGCCATGGATTGAGAGCATCCTGTCGGGCTGTATCACCGCCTGGTATGGCAACTGCACCGCCCGCAACCGCATGGCTCTCCAGAGGGTGGTGCGGTCTGCCGAACGCATTACCGGGGGCAAACTACCCGCCCTCCAGGACACCTACAGCACCCGATGTCACAGGAAGGCCAAAAAGATCATCAAGGACATCAACCACCCAAGCCACTACCTGTTCACCCGCTGTGTATTGGGTATTAGGCATCCTGTAGCTCAGTTGGTAGAGCATGGCGCTTGCAACGCCAGGGTTGTGTGTTCAATTCCCACGGGGGGGCCAGTATGAAAAATGTATGCACTCACTGACTGTAAGTCGCTCTGGATAAGAGCGTCTGCTAAATGACTAAAATGTATATGTTGTGAAATTGTTAGATATTACTGCACTGTCGGAGCTAGAAGCACAAGCATTTCGCTACACCCGCAATAACATCTGCTAAACACGTGTATGTGACAAATAACATTTTATTTTATTTTATTTTGGATAACCTTGGAAGGAGAAGAGGGACATTGGCGATGTTTGATCTACCAATGTGTAACACTCTTCGCCTGATATTTACTGTCAGTAGTTTGGTACCAGATAAACATTGTTGCAGTGGCTGAAAGTGACCCAGGTCAAACAATTATAGCCAAGCAATACGACTAGCATTTGGCTCATGTGTGTTTGAGCTTGTACAATAGCAGCGTAAATATCATGGCAAGCTGAAATTCAACAAGTACATCAAACACATACAGTATCTATCACACACCCCAGTCACAAGCTGTTCACTCCTTAACGGTCGGGCAGACAGTATCGGAGCATGAGGTCTGATACCAACTGGCTCAGAGACAGTTTATATATTAGCCAGAAGATTCCGATATTACCGTTATGCTTGTTTACACTGGGATCTGAACTCCATCATGGTTAGATCAAAACACGGCGGAGCCGGCGCGAGATATGGGTTGGAAAACGTACCTCAATGCAGGGATGGGATATGCCGCTGTACTCCAAATTTTACCTTTATCCAAACTGATACATCGAAAAGATTGAAACACTGTTAGTTTTCCCAGAAAACTGTATTTTCGTCCTCATGCTAGCTAGCAGTAGCCACCACAGTCATTCTGGAATGGCAGGGTCAGCCAATCAGCTCCTTTGTTGTTTAATGCGATGCTTGCATGAGGACGAAAAGGGTAATCTTCTCGATGTATACGTTTGGATAAAGGTACAATTTCTGCATTGAGGTACATTTTCCGACCCATTTCTTGCGCCAGCTCCGCTGTGTCTTATCTAACAATTATGGCGTTCCGACCCCAGTGCAGCTCAGTGTAAAATGTAACGGTAGGCTAGTTTCTATTGGCAAGCCATCAGACTGATGAACACTTGAACTGGACTGACCACCTGCACTTACTCTCCGCATCTTAGCACACATGCACTCACTCACGCCCACACACACACATCACAATTGCTGCTACAAGACTCTTATTTACTATTGCTAATACTGCACAATTTAAACACTTGCCCCCTAAATCAAATCAAATCAAATCAAATTGTATTGGTCACATGCGCCGAATACAACAGGTGCAGACATTACAGTGAAATGCTTACTTACAGCCCTTAACCAACAGTGCATTTATTTTAAACAAAAAAAGTAAAAATAAACCAACAACAAAAAAAGTGTTGAGAAAAAAAGAGCAGAAGAAAAATAAAGTGACAGTAGGGAGGCTATATATACAGGGGGGTACCGTTGCAGAGTCAATGTGCGGGGGCACCGGCTAGTTGAGGTAGTTGAGGTAATATGTACATGTGGGTAGAGTTAAAGTGACTATGCATAAATACTTAACAGAGTAGCAGCAGCGTAAAAAGGATGGGGTGGGGGGGCAGTGCAAATAGTCCGGGTAGCCATGATTAGCTGTTCAGGAGTCTTATGGCTTGGGGGTAGAAGCTGTTGAGAAGTCTTTTGGACCTAGACTTGGCACTCCGGTACCGCTTGCCGTGCGGTAGCAGAGAGAACAGTCTATGACTAGGGTGGCTGGAGTCTTTGACAATTTTGAGGGCCTTCCTCTGACACCGCCTGGTATAGAGGTCCTGGATGGCAGGAAGCTTTGCCCCAGTGATGTACTGGGCCGTACGCACTACCCTCTATAGTGCCTTGCGGTCGGAGGCCAAGCAGTTGCCATACCAGGCGGTGATGCAACCAGTCAGGATGCTCTCGATGGTGCAGCTGTAGAATTTTTTGAGGATCTGAGGACCCATGCCAAATCTTTTCAGTCTCCTGAGGGGGAATAGGCTTTGTCGTGCCCTCTTCACGACTGTCTTGGTGTGTTTGGACCATGATAGTTCGTTGGTGATGTGGACACCAAGGAACTTGAAGCTCTCAACCTGTTCCACTACAGCCCCGTCGATGAGAATGGGGGCGTGCTCAGTCCTCTTTTTCTTCCTGTAGTCCACAATCATCTCCTTTGTCTTGGTCACGTTGAGGGAGAGGTTGTTGTCCTGGCACCACACGGCCAGATCTCTGACCTCCTCCCTATAGGCTGTCTCATCGTTGTCGGTGATCAGGCCTACCACTGTTGTGTTTCTGATACATGTGTAAATATTGGATTATAAACTGTGCCTTCCCATATTATACACTGAAACTAAATATAAACGCAACATGTAAAGTGCTGGTCCCATGTTTCATGAGCTGAAATAAAGGATTGGGGGTGCAGAGGAGTATTTCTCTCTGTAGTAAAGCCTTTTTGTGGGGAAAAACTCATTCTGATTGGCTGGGACTGGCTCCCCAGTGGGTCGGCCTGGCTCCCAAGTGACTGCGCCCATGCACAGTCGTGAAATCCATAGATTAGGGCCTATTTAAATTATTTAAATTGACTGATTTTCTTATATGATCTGTAACTCAGCAAAATCTTTTAAATTGTTGCATGTTGCGTTTATATTGTTGTTCAGTACTTTTGCTAAAATGTTTATTCTTATCTACTGAGCCGTTTACTTTGTTTGTATTCTTATCTTTTATTATTTCTTATTGTTGTTGCATTGTCGAGAAGGAACCTGCAAGTAAGCATTTCAGTATACTATGTGTATCCTGTACATACGACTAATAAAACTTGAAACTATCAAAGTAGTCTCGTTCCTAGCCAGCCTAGTCATCCATACCATGTCTTTGCTGCTGAACAGCTCGCTCTGCAGCAGCTGTGTGGTGCTGGGTTGTAGAGTGGGGTCTCTGCTGGTCATCAGTATGATGTACTTGGCCAGGACAGGCCAGCTTTGGGAGAAGGAGTCTGGGACCTTCCCCTCACGGAGGTCCCCTAGTGTCTGAACATGCTCCATCTCTGTCCCAAAGGGCTGGAACAGCTCCTGGGCCACCACTCCTTTACTGTACATGTCTGACTGCAGAGGAGAAGAAAAAGCATAATTATAAAAATATTTGTATTTACTGTGTATCAATTACTTTATAAATAAAAACGTTATATTATCATCATTATAATTCAATAAAAAATTGTTTTATGTAGAAAAATCACACTGATTGTGCCCAGTAATTTTTGTGTGTCAAACATTTCTGACATTATGGAGATGACTTACCCTTGAATCATAGTGGGAACCCTCCAGTTGTTCAGGTGCGGTGTAAACAAATGTCCCCACTCCAGTGGTGTGAGAGGAACCTGCAGAAAGATTACAAGCGTGTCAAGAATACACACAGGACCAGAGCCAGCCAGGGGAAATGTGTGGGTCAAGTTCAGCGCTATGCCATAAAAGTGATATGGTTGCACAAACCCATAGTACCATCTACTGGTGATTTCAAGAATTACACATGGACAGAAGTGTACAATGTATCTACTTTGATTTGATACATTGTATACATCTCTGAGATGTTAAATGTTTACATATATATTTTAACAACTTTAACAACGATTGAGCTTGTGGTGATAGAGAAAGATTAGAAAAAGAGATTCAATCAGTTTTTCACCAGTGTTCTGTGAGGTGGAGGGTGGCTTTTCCTTGTCATTCATTATTATGTCCCTGCAAGCCAGTCCAAAGTCTCTAATCCTCACATGGCAGTCTTGTCCATGCAGGAAAATATTCCTGGGCTGTAAAACAAAATGAAACAAAAGCATACAAAATGTAAAACATTCACATAATATTCCATTTGTATGTTGAGTGTGAGGTCATAATGCTATAGAATATTCTAAAATAATTCTACTATAAAATGCGTAATTCTATTTTGTCATTACCTCTAGGCCACATGTTACTGCTTTAGTATATTGTTTAACTATTCTTTTTGATTTAAAATGGGTAATATTAGTAACAAACCATGCCTTAGTCCCTATTGCATGCATTATAAACTACAGCTTAATAAGAAAATCAGATTCAGCGATGGAGTCCCCGGTGAATTTGATCATTTGCAGTTTAAAATTCATGAAGCAATAGTCAAAGGAGATGTGCCTAGTATTATCAAGCTTTTAAGATCGCACCCTGTCAACGAGCCTGTTCAGATTTGGAAATACTGTACTGTTTTTTCTACACTTCAAAGACAGGTAAGTGTTTAAAAACATGTCATTTTCGCTAGCCTAAATATATAGGACCCTCATAAAGTTCTAAATCGGTCACAGGGAATAACTATCAGCTGCAGTAAGAATATATGGTCCGTCTATGCGTTGTTTAAAAAGCACTTTACAAATAAAGTCATTATTATTAACATAATATAGCTCAGGTAGGATATGCCTAACTAAGTGTAATAGAACATATGGGTTGCTATTTTCGTCAGCGCAATCAGCCATAGGAGAGGCACCAAAATCATACCAATATTGACAGGTGTCACCAGCGATGAAGAATGATGACGTTTCCAAACGTGCTTATTCTTGCCTTCTTGAGAAAAAACATCAGAGCACTGACAGAGCACAGCGCTGTAATTTATTGTTTGCTCCGAGGCTGCTGAGGCTGAAAACCAGAATTTCACAATAACTGACATTTACAAAGAGCCTTACAACTTGCAAGTTTTCAATAATGTAGAGCAAAGCAAACGCACACTTTAGTAGGACTTGATCTTCTACCTATGGGGTATGGATACGAACGTCAACTTTACAGATGCTGAATTATACAATGCGATCTTGATAGAAGACCTGTCGCGTATTGACGATTTTACCCAAAAACGGGGGTCCAACTTTTACATCGATTTAAGAACCACGGGCCTTCTTCATTAAATCCTTTCAAAGGTAACCCACAATAAAAACTTCAGACATGTTATTCTCTAACGGTATGGTACAAAAGATTTGCTGCAATTTGGAGTTATTAACCAAAACCTCCCAGACCTCCAAAACCATTGAGCATAATTGATGCATAATAGCCACGTCATTTAGTTTACTCACAGATTATCCATTATATTGACTAGATACTCAAGTGGGGCCATTCTAGCCAATGAGAGGGCAGATCCGCGTGTGAACAACAGGCACAACACCAATATAAAGTGTTTTTCTAAACATTGCCAGGATGTCAAGTGTCCTACTTATATCAGTACACTCATAACAAGCTAAGCATTACGTAACTTATATTCGATCAAATAACCCACACATAGCAAAAAAGCCATTTTTTGTTTACCAAATTCACATAGAAAATAAGCCATTTTTTGTTTACTAAATTCAACACTCTCATTGACCTCCATACAAAAAAACTCCTTGCTTGGTGAGCGAAAAAAATGGGAAAAAACGCCACCTGCTAGAGAGTACAGATTTTGGGCCCAGCTATCCCTCTTGCTTCGCCTCATTTAAAAAACTTTAAGTTGAAGTTGAAATATCCATTGCAAAATCTCTTTTGCATACAACATACATAAAATACAATACATAACAAGTTAGGGAACAGCAAACTTCATGCATTCCAACACATTCACTAAGCTAAGGACCCTGGGACGAAACACCTCCCTCTGCAACTTTATCCTGGACTTCCTGACGGGCCTTCCCCAGGTGGTAAGGGTAGGTAACAACACATCTGCCATGCTGATCCTCAACACGGGGGCCCCTCAGGGGTGCGTGCTCAGTCCCCTCCTGTACTCCCTGTTCACCCATGACTGAATGGCCAGGCACGACTCCAACACCATCATTAAGTTTGCCGATGACACAACAGTGGTAGGCCTGATCACCGACAATGATGAGACAGCCTATAGAGAGGAGTTCAGAGACCTGGCCGTGTGGTGCCAGGACAACAACCTCTCCCTCAACGTGATCAAGACAAAGGAGATGATTGTGGACTACAGGGAAAAAAATAGGACTGAGCACGCCCCCATTCTCATCGGCGGGGCTGTAGTGGAACAGGCTGAGAGCTTCAAGTTCCTTGGTGTCCACATCTCCAACAAACTATCATGGTCCAAACACACCAAGACAGTCGTGTAGAGGGCACGACAAAGCCTATTCCCCCTCAGGAGACTGAAAAGATTTGGCATGGGTCCTCAGATCCTCAAAAAGTTATACAGCTGCACCATCGAGAGCATCCTGACTGGTTGCATCACCGCCTGGTATGGCAACTGCTCGGCCTCCGACCGCAAGGCACTACAGAGGGTAATGTGTACGGCCCAGTACATCACTGGGGCCAAGCTTCCTGCCATCCAGGACCTCTATACCAGGCGGTGTAAGAGGAAGGCCCTAATAATTATCAAAGACTCCAGCCACCCTAGCCATAGACTGTTCTCTCTGCTACCACATGGCAAGCGGTACCGGAGCGCCAAGTCTAGGTCCAAAAGGCTTCTTAACAGCTTCTACCCCCAAGCCATAAGACTCGTGAACAGCTAATCATGGCTACCTGGACTATTTGCATTGCCCCCCCACCCCACCGCAACCTCTTTTACGCTGCTGCTACTCTGTTTATTATTTATGCATAGTCACTTTAACTCTACCCACATGTACATATTACCTCAATTACCTCGACTAACCGGTGCCCCCGCACATTGACTCTGTACCCCTGTATATAACCTCCCTACTGTTATTTTATTTTACTGCTGCTCTTTAATTATTTGCTATTTTTTATTTTTTTCTTAAACTGCATTGTTGGTTAAGGGCTTGTAAGTAAGCATTTCACTGTAATGTCTACACCTGTTGTATTCGGCGCATGTGGCAAATAACATTTTATTTGATTTTACCATGAGGCATAGAGAAAAATGTTAAGTTTTATGCTATTCTACAAATGTTGTTATGAGGCTGAGAGATACTTTTGCAGTTTTAAAGCAACAATTCTGCAATTCTACACATTTTGCCATGGGACAGAGAGAAAAGGTGCTGTTTTATAGCTTATGCTATTTTTCAAATTTTTCCATGACAATGAGAGAAAATTGTGCAGTTTTAAAGCAAATTTCCTGCAATTCTACACATTTCGCCATGAGGTGGAGAGAAAATTGTGCAGTTTTAAAGCTAAATTCCTGCATTTATACACATTTTGCCATTGTTTATGACGTGTTCATATGCTATCTGGGGGCCCCCGACCTCCAGAGGGTAATTCGGTAATCCAGCCCTGCATGTAACATACATTTAGCATTCCTAACATGTCTTTCAACAAGTTCTCTCTCGCTCATTGCCTACAGGGCTTGGCAATTCTCCCCCTCCACCTGGCTGCATCTTACAGGAGAGTGAAGAGCCTTGAGAGCCTTCTGTCTGCCGGGGCAGACCCGGAGATCAGGTAAGCCTATATCAACAGGTTCCACTGGTTTAAGTAATACACTGAAAAGGTATGACCATATTAGCGCTTTAGAGCGATGGTGCTGCTCTGTATAACTAAGCAACATTAGACTATTGAGCTACACCCCTAAACTCCAGCATGACCATTCCAAATGTCCTAAAACATTAAAAAAGCTCTATGAGTAATGCCAGTATTTGGAAGTAATCTCCTTTTATGTGGAAAACAAATCACCACCAGTAAAACAAAACCATTCTAACATGACCATTTCCCCCATAACCTCCTCCTTGCGACCTCCAGGGACCAGCGAGGCCACAACGCCCTGCACCTGGTGATCACCCACTGGCCCACCATCCTGGCCTCCTGGTCCAAGCCACGTACCAAGTTTGAGACGGCCATGATGTCCATGCAGCACCGGGCCGAGGCCTGCCTCAGGGTGCTCTGCAGCCACGGAGTCAACATCAACGCAGAGGTAATTGATTGGTTGATTGGGTAATTGATCATTTGAAGATACTTCTATCACTATGTTGAAAAAATAATGCATACACTTACCCAATTATCAAGGGTAAACACAAAGCATGATGAGTTGCCTGTAGAGATGCTGATCTTATTGTCAGTTTTGCAATTCCACCCAAGGGTTCAAGATGATCCAAGGTCTGTGCGTTTACACACGCAGCCCAATTCTGATATTTTCTTCCTCTAACTGGTCTTTTGACCAAATCACATCAGATCTTTTCACATTAGATCTTATTCAGAGCTGATCTGATTTGTCAAAAGACCAGTTACAGTTAGTGAAAAAGAAGATCAGAATTGGGCTGCCTGTCTAAACGCAGCCGAGTGGAATTAAGCCAGAAGTCATAAAAAGGTTTTTTTCTGCATAGAAAAGTATTGGGTGGTCCAAAGAGTAAAGAAAAAAGAAAAAAGAAAAAATGTTTTTGTGGATGGAAAAACTGAAAAACTTTTTCAGTGTAGACTTAAACGACTAAAACCAGATAAAGTATGTAGAAAATATAATGGACCTACATATTTTTTAAATAAGATCATCTTTGAGAACTAACAATCACCCAAATCAAAGCTAGACAGTCAGGGAGAATCTAAAAGTAAAACAATTATACATTCAGGATTATTTCTCAAATAGCATAAGGGCAATTCCACTGTAACGGAATTACGCTTTGACTCTGTTTTTTCACTTTTAAATGTATGCCAAACAAAAACCATTAATTTCAAAGTTAAACAAACCATACAACTCTATGCACTTAGTTTACAAAAACAAATTTAGTGGAATAACTGTGCAGAATTACTTTAGAATTACTTTAAAATCTCCTCCAAAAAGTATTAAATATCTGCTCTGAATTAAGATTCAAAGATGTCTGCTGAAAGAACAGGGTGTCAGCTATGACAGTTAGAAAAACATTATTTTGGTTATTGAACTACGCTAAGTGAAGTGGACTCCCAAGTGGCGCAGCGGTCTAAGGCACTGCATCTCAGTGCTAGAGGCGTCACTAAAGACCCTTGTTCGATTCCAGGCTGTATCACAACCTGGCTGTGATTTGGAGTCCCATAGGGTGGCGCACAATTGTCCCGGGGTAGGCCGTCATTGTAAATAAGAATTTGTTGTTAACTGACTTGCGTTGTTAAATGAAATAATAATTTACACCCGGTAATGGAATTACATTAACAGAATGTCATTCCCCTCATGTTCATAAGTTTGGAGACTTTGGACATCACAGAGCACAGAAGAGTACAATACAAAGTAGGATACAGTACAGTAAATTATAGTAGAGTACAGTACAATATACTCTACTTTTCTTTACTGTATTGTACTCAATGTACTATGCTATCCAAACTTGTGAAACATACGTCTATGATAGGTTCAGATTTGGTCCAGTCCGGTCCGCCTGTGGACGTTAACATCAAGGCCATGGTGGACTGACCAAATTTCAACTACTTTCCAACATCCATGGATGTCCGGAGTTGGCCGGTGCTCAGGGGTGAGGATGCTGGTTACAGTAAATGAAGAGAGGGGGCTCATGGGTAGGTGTCAGTAAGAGCTGGGAGAGGTGACATTAACTGGAGAGTGAGAGAAGAGAGGCAGAGAGAAAGAGAGAGAGAGAGAGAGAGAGATAGAGAGAGAGAGAGAGAGAGAGAGAGAGAGAGAGAGAGAGAGAGAGAGAGAGAGAGAGAGAGAGGGAGGGGTTGTCCAGACTCAGACTGTTTTAACAATCTTGGTTTGACCAACAGACAACAGAAAGACAAAGAACATAATAGTATGCCACTGGAAGGGAGGACAGTAGCATGTGACCCAACTGTGGTTTGTGACTGTTATGATTTCCGATTGTAGCCAATTCAATTGCAGTAAATCCGTTACAGATTTTTTTGGTTTTGAATGATTTAATAATTCATAAACAAAATTGATATAAGTAAAATCACTATAACTAATTGGTAGGTCTACCATTACTTGTTACTTTTGTTTACTTTCATTATCCTCCCTCCTCATGAGGGCGAGAAATTAGAAAATATTTTAAAGATATGTGAGCTTTTGGTAACAAGGCAATATTTCTTAAACTTACAGAAGGTATACAATTTCTCCAAAACGAAATATGAAAGTGTTGATATTAGTTGGCAGGGGTCTTCTTTACGGCAACATTATTGTATTTTGATGTATTGTTGATAACTTTTAAGACTTTTTCTGGTAGATGTTTTCTAAGAAATCAAAGCTTTTACTTATGCCTAATTTTTAAGATGGAAAATGGTTGAAAATGTTTTTCATTTCCCAAAACTATAGACTCAGCTTTCATTTGACACCCATTTTGATATGTTCCTATGAACTTCACATGTTGGTGCTCAGGGGTCCTTTTCAATGGGAATTCCCATAAGCCAAGCCCCCCCGATAAACACGATCAACATATTTTTTCCATTGATTGTGTTCTTGAAAAATTGTATGGTTGAGAGGGATGAAGCAAAATATTGGCAAGTGTACTGCAAATTGAGAAAGTAATGTGACTAAACTGAATAAAAAGAAGGAGAAACTACACTATGAAACAAAGATAAATGATATAAAGAATGATAGTAAAAAGCTTTGGAGCACCTTCAATTACATTTTGGGAAAAAAGGCAAACTCAGCTCCATCATTCATTGAATCAGATGGCTCATTCATTACAAAACCGACTGATATTGCCAACTACTTTAATGATTTTTTCATTTGCAAGATTAGCAAACTTAGGCATGACATGCTAGCAACAAACGCTGACACTACACATCCAAGTATATCTAATTGTATTTTGAATTCCGTAAAGTGAGTGTGGAAGAGGTGAAAAATTATTGTTGTCTATCAACAATGACAAGCCACCGGGGCCTGACAACTTGGATGGAAAATTACTGAGGATAATAGCGGACGATATTGCCACTCCTATTTGCCATATCTTCAATCTAAGCCTACAGGAAAGTGTGTGCCCTCAGGCCTGGAGGGAAGCAAAAGTCATTCCGCAACCTAAGAATAGTAAAGCCCCCTTTACTGGCTCAAATAGCCGACCAATCAGCCTGTTACCAACCCTTAATAAAGTTTTGGAAACAATTGTGTTTGACCAGATGCAATGCTATTTTACAGTATTTTACAGTAAACAAATTGACAACAGACTTTCAGCACGCTGTGATGAGTGTGATGAAAGGAGTCAGGCGCAGGAGGGTAATCACCGAACACAGCGTTTAATCCTTCGTTGACACACAAATGCGCTCAAATAGCGATCAACGAAACAGGCACAGGGGAAACTCTCATCCCTGGCAAATACACTGTAGCGGTAGAATTCAATAATACATAGGCACAGGAGAAAATACTACCCTGGCAACAACAAGGTAAGGGTAGCTCAACCAAGGGTCTTAGGAAAATTGCAATTGGCTCAGAACAGGGCAGCACGGCTGGCCCTTGGATGTACACAGAGAGCAAACATTAATAATATGCATGTCAATCTCTCCTGGCTCAAAGTAGAGGAGAGTGACTTCATCACTACTTGTATTTAAGAGAGGTATTGACATGTTGAAAGCAGCGAGCTGTCTGTTTAAACGACTAGTACACAGCTCAGACACCCATGCATACCCCACAGAGCTCAGACACCCATGCATAAGTCCAGAACAGACTATGGGAGGCGCACAGTACTACATAGAGCCATGACTACATGGAACTCTATTCCACATCAGGTAACTGATGCAAGCAGTAGAATCAGATTTTACAAAACAGATAAGAATACACCTTATGCAACAGCAGGGACTGTGAAGCAACACAAACATAGGCACAGACACACGATAACATACACACTATACACACACGTACACATGGATTTTGTGTTGTAGATATGTGGTAGTGGAGTATGGGCCTGAGGGCACACACTTAGTGTGTTGTGAATTCTGTAATGAATGTATGGTAACGTTTTTAAAATTGTATAACTGCCTTAATTTTGCCGGACCCCAGGAAGAGTAGCTGATGGGATCCATAATAAATACAAATACAAAATTCTAGGTGGAGAGTGACGGCCGCCACACCGCGCTTCACCTGGCCGTTCGCTACAGAGCGCTGCCCGCTATCAGCATCCTGGCGAGCCACGGCGCCAGAATCAACACCATCGACCACTTTGGGATGATGCCCCTGCATATGGCTGCCGGGATCCTCAATACAGAGATGACAGCCAGCCTGATCAAGCTTGGGGCTGACGTTAACAAGGTTTTTAGTTTCTTTGTTGTTTGTGTTTTACATAACCCATTTTCAACTCCTGCTGTCAAGCTTTGAGGAATGTTTCCGGTGAAAGCATACTGATGTTTAGAAGTGCACATTTTAAATATAGTTTGCTTTGAAGGTGATGAATAATTCGGGTAACAGCCCCCTCCACCTGGCTGCCCTGGCGGCGGCTAACAAGCCAGTGAAGGCCCTGGGAGTGGACCTGAGCTGTATCACTGAGCTGCTGGACCAGGGGGCTGACCCGAACATAGTGAACCATGCAGGCCGCACGGCCCTGCACGAGGCCTGTAGCGGGGGCCACGAGGCCGTGGTGGAGCTCCTCCTGAAGTATGGAGCCGACATCAACCAGCTGACCACCGCAGGGGGAAACTGCCTCTTCCTGTTCCTGGATCAGAAGCTCAACCTGAGGCACACCTCTCTGCTGTGGAAGCTCCTCACCATGACCTACCCCCTGACCATCAGCAACAGAGATGGCCACCTGCCCAGCTCTTTAATGCTCCCGGAGTACTTCGACCAGAGGGACCAGCTGCTGAACCTGTGCCAGCAGCCTAGGAGCCTCATGGACATATGTAAGTTCCACATCTACCAATGCTATGGGAAGAGTCATGGTAGAGAATGCCTGAAGCAGGTTCTGCCAGACATGGTGCATGACTTTGTGTTTAACCATTGGGAAAACGCATGTGATGTCACGTTTGTTAAGGAGGGTGATGTCATCCCACCTCGGTTCCCCCGTTTTCCCAATATGGAGGACTTCACCATGCCTCAAGGAGTCTAACTCTTCCTGTCCAAGGAGATGAAAGCTACAGCATTTTACTTTTACATTTTAACACACATTACCTCAACACATTCCATGAACCTCCAGAGATATGGAGAGGTTCACACGTGATCGACCTCATCAGAGAGCGGCAAAACCTCCTTTGTTATCATTTGATGGTGCACTTCTTTTTCTTATGAAATTAAATAATATACACTTGCAAAGAACACACCTTCAGGTCTCTGTGCATGATTCTTCTAGAGTGAATGTATTATACTCCTTCAAGTATTTTATATAGAATACTGAGGGTTTGTTTCGTGTCCACAGCCACATAAGGATCTGAAAAACAAAAGCCAAAACATACTCATTAACAAATTCTGCATAATGTAAACCTAATCAAAACATTGATAATGTTGGATGAAAAACGAAAGCAACAAAGGGGTGCATCTCATTGTGCAAGTTATATACAGTGCCTTGCAAAAGTATTCATCCCCCTTGGCGGTTTTCCTATTTTGTTGCATTACAACCTGTAATTTAAATTGATTTTTATTTGGATTTCATGTAATGGACATACACAAAATAGTCAAACTTGGTGAAGTGAAATGAAAAAAATAACTTGTTTCAACAAATTCTAAAAAATAAATAACGGAAAAGTGTATGTATTCACCCCCTTTGCTATGAAGAATGATGGATGGCGCTAAATACAGGGAAATTCTTGAGGGAAACCTGTTTCAGTCTTCCAGAGATTTGAGACTGGGACGGAGGTTCACCTTCCAGCAGGACAATGACCCTAAGCATACTGCTAAAGCAACACTCAAGTGGTTTAAGGGGAACATTTAAATGTCTTGGAATGGCCTAGTCAAAGCCCAGACCTCAATCCAATTGAGAATCTGTGGTATGACTTAAAGATTGCTGTACACCAGCAGAACCCATCCAACTTGAAGGAGCTGGAGCAGTTTTGCCTTGAAGAATGGGCAAAAATCCCAGTGGCTAGTTGTGCCAAGCTTGTAATTGCTGCAAAAGGTGGCTCTACAAAGTATTGACTTTGGGGGGGTGAATAGTTATGCACGCTCAAGTTTTCTATTTTTATGTCTTATTTCTTGTTTGTTTCACAATAAAAAATAATTTGCATCTTCAAAGTGGTAGGCATGTTGTGTAAATCAAATGATACAAACCCCCAATAATCCATTTTAATTCCAGGTTGTAAGGCAACAAAATAGGAAAAATGCCAAGGGGGGTGAATACTTTCGCAAGCCACTGTACATGTATGTTCACTTTGTGAGGTGTGTTCGGTGGTTCTCTCTAAGATCCAGTCTTTGAGCGAGCGTTCACACAGCTGCATCTGGATATACAGCATGAGGTGGAACTGTACCTGAGGTAGCCATAGAATAGTATCCAGTAAAATCAGAGTTTAACAAAAAATCTGTAAAATAATCATCTTTATCAGGCAACTTTGATGTGGGTGGGGGCCACAAAAAATCTGAACTCATCATGAGGGGCCGCAGTTTCTCACGGGTCTGCGTACCCACATCCATACTCCACCCCCACATTGTGAGCAAACGTCTGACATGCTCCATTCAGGCAGTGTGGTAGCCCACTACATTGATGTGCTGAAGACTGGATAACACTTTCACCTCTCTGAGAACATGAAACAAATACAGGAAAATACTCAATGACTGATAAATTCACTTGTGTCCATTAATACTTCACTGAAGTATACTGCATTTTTGGAACATTAAAACTCAATACATTTGAAATACCTTCATGCAGTCTTCCCTTGAAACATTCTTGATGAGAATTTTCTTCACAGCATACTTCTGGCCATCCAGCTTGTTTGTTACCCAAAGAGCAAATGACAAAAAATTAAGAGGGGAAATGTATTCCACTGTAGGTTTTATTAATGCATTGGTATGATATCTATTTTGACTAGACAGTTCCGTACCTTGAAGACCTTGCCATAGGATGCTTTTCCAAGTCTAGAGAGCTCTTCAAACTTTAGGTAGCGAGACGTCTGTGCCTGGAACAGACCCTCTTTTGGTCTACGGAAAATGAGTAAAGAAACAGGTCCTCAAGTTCCTCTCATAACACAAAGTACACAGCAGTACGTTTATTTAAATTTTAGTCATTTATCAAAATTACTAAGCTTACCTTAACGTAAGACTCTGGGTGTCTGTATTCAATAACCTTTGACCCTGAAATGGCAGGTAAAAACAGGTCAGTGAGTGAACATCAATGATAAACAACAAATCTGACCATGCATGTCCCGCATTACATTATCACTAGATGGCCACATCAAGTGTTACCTGTGGGAACAAGGAGGTGATTGCTCTGTTGTGTTGGAGTCTGACCGTGCTGAACTCATCACTGATGGCCAATGGGGAGAGGAGGTTCATTGCTGCTAAATGCTGACCAGTGACTGGAGAGGACAGCAAAGACAAGGAAGTCATTCACTGTGTGTTGTTGTTCACAAGTTCTTTTTTACACAAAATAATTATCTTTCCTGAAGTCAGCGATGCAAAAGTGTTGCAAAAACAGAGACAAAAACTGAGTTTACTGAGTTACTTAGTTTAAAATAATCATATCCTAACCTCTCTCTACACAACAACCAGAGAATGTTCATGTTCTACTGACAGAGAGAGAGAGAGTTTAGTCGATCCTCTTTACCTTTGAACAGCATATGTGAGCTGGTCGGGTTGCTCTCGTAGACAAAACACAGGTGTTCCAGCAGGGACCCCAGCAGCAGGTGGTTGGGGATGGCTGAGGCAAACTCCTGGATGGACGGGTACTATTTGCCTGCCATCAGAACCTCACAGTTGTTATCTGAGTCTGATGCTGTGTTTACATAGAGAATGAGAAACAGAACAGAGGAGAGCGTGGTAAGTGTTTGTAACAAGATGATAGATTATGTAATAGATGGATAAGAGCAAAGTTGTGTGTTTCAACAGTGAACCGTCCCCTCCAAAACTTCCTTGTAGCCAGGAGATGAGGCCCAACATATTTTATTTAATTTTTTTATTTAACCTTTATTTAACCAGGTAAGCCAGTTCTCATTTACAACTGCGACCTGGCCAAGATAAAGCAAAGCAGTGCGATAAAAACAACAACACAGAGTTACATATGGGGTAAAACAAAACATAAAGTCAAAAATACAACAGAAAATATATATACAGTGTGTGCAAATGTAGCAAGTTATGGAGGTAAGGCAATACATAGGCTATAGTGCAAAATAATTACAATTAGTATTAACACTGGAATTATAGATATGCAAGAGATGATGTGCAAATAGAGATACTGGGGTGCAAATGAGAAAAATAAATAACAATATGGGGATGAGGTAGTTGGGTGGGCTAATTTCAGATGGGCTGTGTACAGGTGCAGTGATCGGTAAGGTGCTCTGACAACTGATGCTTAAAGTTAGTGAGGGAGATAAGAGTCTCCAGCTTCAGAGATTTTTGCAATTCGTTCCAGTCATTGGCAGCAGAGAACTGGAAGGATGGCGGCCAAAGGAGGTGTTGGCTTTGGGGATGACCAGTGAGATATACAGTGGGGAAAAAAAGTATTTAGTCAGCCACCAATTGTGCAAGTTCTCCCACTTAAAAAGATGAGAGAGGCCTGTAATTTTCATCATAGGTACACGTCAACTATGACAGACAAAATGAGAAAAAAAAATCCAGAAAATCACATTGTAGGATTTTTAATGAATTTATTTGCAAATTATGGTGGAAAATAAGTATTTGGTCAATAACAAAAGTTTCTCAATACTTTGTTATATACCCTTTGTTGGCAATGACACAGGTCAAACGTTTTCTGTAAGCCTTCACAAGGTTTTCACACACTGTTGCTGGTATTTTGGCCCATTCCTCCATGCAGATCTCCTCTAGAGCAGTGATGTTTTGGGGCTGTCGCTGGGCAACACAGACTTTCAACTCCCTCCCAAGATTTTCTATGGGGGTTGAGATCTGGAGACTGGCTAGGCCACTCCAGGACCTTGAAATGCTTCTTACGAAGCCACTCCTTCATTGCCCGGGCGGTGTGTTTGGGATCATTGTCATGCTGAAAGACCCAGCCACGTTTCATCTTCAATGCCCTTGCTGATGGAAGGAGGTTTTCACTCAAAATCTCACGATACATGGCCCCATTCATTCTTTCCTTTACACGGATCAGTCGTCCTGGTCCCTTTGCAGAAAAACAGCCCCTAAGCATGATGTTTCCACCCCATGCTTCACAGTAGGTATGGTGTTCTTTGGATGCAACTCAGCATTCTTTGTCCTCCAAACACGACGAGTTGCGTTTTTACCAAAAAGTTCTATTTTGGTTTCATCTGACCATATGACATTCTCCCAATCCTCTTCCGGATCATCCAAATGCACCCTAGCAAACTTCAGACGGGACATGTACTGGCTTAAGCAGGGGGACACGTCTGGCACTGCAGGATTTGAGTCCCTGGCGGCGTAGTGTGTTACTGATGGTAGGCTTTGTTACTTTGGTCCCAGCTCTCTGCAGGTCATTCACTAGGTCCCCCCGTGTGGTTCTGGGATTTTTGCTCACCGTTCTTGTGATCATTTTGACCCCACGGGGTGAGATCTTGCGTGGAGCCCCAGATCGAGGGAGATTATCAGTGGTCTTGTATGTCTTCCATTTCCTAATAATTGCTCCCACAGTTGATTTCTTCAAACCAAGCTGCTTACCCATTGCAGATTCAGTCTTCCCAGCCTGGTGCAGGTCTACAATTTTGTTTCTGGTGTCCTTTGACAGCTCTTTGGTCTTGGCCATAGTGGAGTTTGGAGTGTGACTGTTTGAGGTTGTGGACAGGTGTCTTTTATACTGATAACAAGTTCAAACAGGTGCCATTAATACAGGTAACGAGTGGAGGACAGAGGAGCCTCTTAAAGAAGAAGTTACAGGTCTGTGAGAGCCAGAAATCTTGCTTGTTTGTAGGTGACCAAATACTTATTTTCCACCATAATTTGCAAATAAATTCATTAAAAATCCTACAATGTGATTTTCTGGATTTTTTTCTTCTCAATTTGTCTGTCATAGTTGACGTGTACCTATGATGAAAATTACAGGCCTCTCTCATATTTTTAAGTGGGAGAACTTGCACAATTGGTGGCTGACTAAATAATTTTTTTCCCCACTGTACCTGCTGGAGCGCAGACTACGGGTGGGTGTTGCTATGGTGACCAGTGAGCTAAAATAAGACGGGGATTTGCCTAGCAGTGATTTATAGATGACCTGGAGCCAGTGGGTTTGGCGACGAATATGTAGTGAGGGCCAGCCAACAAGAGCGTACAGGTCACTGTGGTGGGTAGTATATGGGGCTTTGGTGACAAAACGGATGGCACTGTGATAGACTACATCCAATTTGCTGAGTAGAGTGTTGGAGGCTATTTTGTAAATGACATCGGCAAAGTCAAGGATCGGTAGGATAGTCAGTTTTACGAGGGCATGTTTGGCAGCATGAGTGAAGGAGGCTTTGTTGCGAAATAGGAAGCCGATTCTAGATTTAACTTTGGATTGGAGATTCTTAATGTGAGTCTGGAAGGAGAGTTTACAGTCTAACCAGACACCTAGGTATTTGTAGTTGTTCACATACTCTAGGTCAGACCCGTCGAGAGTAGTGATTCTAGTCGGGTGGGCGGGTGCCAGCAGCGTTCGATTGAAGAGCATGCATTTAGTTTTACCAGTGTTTAAGAGCAGTTGAAGACATGAAGGTGTTGGCCCCAGGATGCTCCCGTCAAGCCTTTGTGGGAATGCTTGACGGAAGAACAAAGCACTTTGGCAGGGTAAGTGTGTATATACGAATCAAATGATAATTTGAATTAATTAGTGGTTAATATTTGTCCCTAATATAAAAATTGCTTCTTACTTATACCTCTGTTTTGCATGTTATTAGAGTGAAAAGATATGTGGCGACACATTCCAGAAGGCATTCCTCAAGTGGACGTATGGGCGGTTTGAAATAGACAAGCTTTGTGGAAGCGATCTCCTCCATTGTCCTGCCTGCTCACAGGAGATGCATGCTATATCAGTGGATGGGAATCGCAAGCAATACCGCTTCCGGAAAGCCTCAGGGTTTGTACTACCTTCTTATGTGTTGATGTTTTGTTCAGGGTATAATTATACCTTCTTAAAGTGCATGCTGGTCTTCTTTTTGTAATGAAGTATATGTTTGTGATGTTATATTGCAGTTGGTCTTCTTTTTAGAAGAAGATTAATTGTCAACTAGAAGGTCATTTTCCATTAAGGAAAATTGTTGTACAGGGATTTGTCTTTTTGCTTTATCCAAATCCCTCCGAGACACACACAGACACAGACACACACACAGAGAGGTTGGAGCAACACGGTCAGATGTCTGGGATTTGAACCAGCAACCCACCTCTCTAGGCTACTTGCCACACCTTGGCGGTTTGGTTTTATGTATAATTTTGTGATGTAATCTTACAGTCTGACTCTCTATTTAGTGTTGAGAAGGGCTTCTATGATGGTGTCTTCCTGGTGAAAGACGATGATGTATCATCCTTCGTCAAACTTGTCCATACAAAGACAAATCATGTAATTATTCTCACAGTTTCTATAACATAGCTTAATGTCACCCAGTTTAGAACTTGTTTCTTTTAAATTCATCTCTGCACTTCACTGTGATTTTCATGTTGTAGACGCCAGGCAAAGGAGTGTGTGGCACGTCAGAATGGACAGCGGCCAAAGAGACGTCAGGAAAATAATCTGCCAAAGTAGGGCCTTGAGATTTGCCGACTCCGGGATGCTGACCTAGGCAGAGTTGCAAAGAAAAAGCAATATCTCAGACTGGCCAATAAAAAGAAAAGATTAAGATGGGCAAAAGAACACAGACACTGGACTTTTTCTTTGCAACTCTGCCTAGAAGGTCAGCATCCCGGAGTCGCCTCTTCACTGTTGAGGTTGAGACTGGTGTTTTGCGGATACTATTTAATGAAGCTGCCAGTTGAGGACCTGTGAGGCGTCTGTTTCTCAAACTGCTCAGTTGTGCACCGAAGCCTCCCACTCCTCTTTCTATTCTGGTTAGAGCCAGTTTGCGCTGTTCTGTGAAGGGAGTAGTACACAGCGTTGTACGAGATCTTCAGTTTCTTGGCAATTTCTCGCATGGAATAGCTTTCATTTCTCAGAACAAGAATAGACTGATGAATATCAGAAGAAAGTTATTTGTTTCTGGCCATTTTGAGCCTGTAATCGAACCCACAATTGCTGATGCTCCAGATACTCAACTAGTCTCAAGAAGGCCAGTTTTATTGCTTCTTTAATCAGCACAACAGTTTTCAGCTGTGCTAACATAAGTGCAAAATGTTTTCTAATGATCAATTAGCCTTTTAAAATGATAAACTTGGATTAGCAAACACAACGTGCCATTGGAACACAGGACTGATGGTTGCTGATAATGGGCCTCTGTACGTCTTTGTAGATATTCCATAAAAAATCAGCCGTTTCCAGCTACAATAGCCATTTACAACATTAACAATGTCTACACTGTATTTCTGATTAATTTGATGTTATTTTAATGGACAAAAAAATTGCTTTTCTTTTGAAAACAAGGACATTTCTAAGTGACTCCAAACTTTTGAACGGTAGTGAATGCCTATGCAATGTACTTGCAGAAGGAGCTGTCTTCTGCTGGCACAGTGGGCTTTTTCTGCTGCGATGTTGCATGCAAATACTGGCCATATTTGCAGAAAGTTGTGCAGGCGTGCCCAGAGTTGGAGAAGCTTCTAAAAATGCACCCTTTCCTTCTTGACTGTTTTTGTGTTATGCAGAAAGGATATTGTAATGCTTTTAAAAAATAATAGAATGAATACATGATTACATTTTTTTAGTATTTGTTCATTTATGGCATTATAGCTCAAATGCCGGCAACACAACCGGAGAGGAAGTTGAGCAGGTGATAGTTTTATATCCAGAGCTGCTGCCATTACAAAGTACATGTCCAAGGCTGGTAAGTGTATTATGATAACATAACTAATGCTGAAGAAGGTTTAGGATTGCAACATAAATCCTTTAATAATGTTTAACTATTAAGTGGTCCTTTATATTTTAGCTTTAGCACACTTCAATTAATAAGATCAACCTAATTGTCCCTCTCCTAGACTGTCACCTTGCCACGGTGGAGAGGCTTGCGTACTCCAATGACCCTGAGCGCTAAGCCAGAGGGGGTTTATACTCCCGGCAGGTGCAGTCCAGCCGGCCAGGTTGAAGGGTAGGAGGCAGACAAAGCAGTCCATGGTCCTCCATGTTGGGGGTAGGGCGTGGGGCTATCCACCCCACCCCGGAAAAAAGAGAAACATTGACGAATGGAAACCAAATAAATTGCCCCAAAACAGGACATTTTCTTGGACACATGTTACTGCTGAAGGGAGAAGCTGACATTGAAGGACATTTTCTTTTTGGGCTTAATTGATGATGTTATGATGATGTTATGTAATGTTACTGATTTTTATTTTTTATTACCTTACATGACTGTAATTGCAATATTTATGTTGATTGGTTAGGCACACAGTAGTAAATTATTAGAATAGCTGACTGAAGATGTTTTTCCAACAGTACGGACAGACATTATCACACTATTGGCAATGGGCTGGAATAAGAGGAAGTTTGCCAACATGGATTGCATGTTGGCAAAGAGATATGTGAAGGTATGTTTTTTTTGGGGGGGGGGGCTTTCATAATCTTTTTTTTTTTTTTTTTTTACCTGTATCTGCTTTCTCATTCTTGTTTATCTATTTCTACATGTCTGATCTTCTGTCTGAAATCCTGGCTCAGGTTTTTATTATTTTATTAGTCATCTTGATGTAGGAAAACATCAAGATGACTGTATACATTAAAGTCAAATCTTTTAGTGTGATTCACTTGAAAAATTAGAACCTTCACCTATGTTATTCCTTAATTGAATTGTATTTTTTCAGAATGTCAAAAGACTGAAGGAGGAGACCAGCCTCCTTGAAGAAAAGCGGGCAGAGCTGGACATCAACGACGCTGTGCTTCAGGAGTTGGTTGCTGAGGTCCAGCAGGGGCCTGAAGGTATGTTAGGTTCTGAACAAATAGAGCAAAAACTGAAACGGACAACCAGAAAAAGCTCAAACCAAATGTATTCTACCCACAATAATATATTTATACCTTCCGACTAGGCGGAGTCACCGCCTTGCATGTCTAAGATAAACACTCCTTCTCTGTTAGGCAGAAACACAATAGGTTCCTCTCACTGGTATTGTCATGGCCTGCCTAAGTCTAGGACCCTCATGGGCGTAGAAGTGTGTGTGTATGGGATAGGACTGTAGTCAGATGGTTTTCGGGGTGGGTCCCTATGGCCCCCCTCCCAGCTGTGTCTTCTCTCTTTAACTGTTGACCTTATCTCGAGTTGAGTTCCACATGCCTTCCTTATCAGGAACTGAAACCAAACTCCTACCCTTTGCCTCCTTCCTTAGAAATATTAATATTCAGCAATAACATGTTTGAACAGAATATGAACTTTCTGCACTTCCCCTTGTCTCACTTTCCATACCCAAAGTTCCTATTCACCCTTCATTGACCCCTAACATATAAATGTCTTATACATGTAAAGTAATCAATATGTTCTAATATGATGACAGGAATAAGTATATTTCAAGCCAGAATCCAACAGGTAGAACAGTGAATGTTTCTCTGTCTCTCAACTTCATAATTGTGGAGTCATGTTTGTAACTTGCCCTATGTTTGACAGCACACTTCAGGCAGGGCAGACGGGGCATCTCCAGAAGAAGATTGAGGGGCTTTACCTCAGTGTGAAACAGAGGAAACACTACCTCTACCGTTTGACAGGTAAGCCCCAACAACAATATGACCTCAAACACATTATTAATCAAGCAGTAAAACTGATTTGTGAAAGAACATGCATTAGTCGTACACATCAGACCATGTTTATGATCAAATGTAGGCATGACCTATGTTATTAATTGATCTAAGGCAAAACATTTCATTAAACTAAGAAATTACTTGACCATAAACAGCAGAGTATCTTGTAAGCCACAACTCTGCATGCCTTGAATAATGTTATAACTGCATGACAACACATGCTTTAGAAATGAGTTGATTGCTTTGTACTCTCTTTGTTTGTGCCTCTATAGTAGCTCTATAACTTATAGTCATGTAATATAATATATCTGAATATACAGTCCGTTTAATCACCCCTTTTTATTCAGACGGTAACAAGAGGAGGCATCAGATTCAGAGAAAAATTGTTGAGGAGAAAGCAGCCTTGACAGCTGCCATTGTTCAACTTCACGAGCAGCAGGCAGAGTTTAGGCTCTCCACAGTGGATGAGCTGCTCAACACTGACAACTTTGTGTGGCCATGGGAGAGACTTGGCACCAGTAAGTATATGATTGCAGAAGTTGTGATTGAATGTTTACCTTCAGCGTAGGCTGCAATCATTGCTGTTGTTCTGTTATATACCTCTGTGAGTTTACATCTCACAGGCAACAGCCATCTTGCCATCAAAAAGGCAATCTTCGACAGACTGATGTTGGTGAACAGACTGCAGGAGGAAGAGAGGATCCTGGTGCAGGAGATGAAGAGGCGCTGGGGGAGCCTACAAAGGGCAGCGGGAACTCTGGAGGCACTGTCCCAACAGCTGCAAGATCAGAGTAAGTTGAGGTTTATACTATAGCTTCACGTTGGTTCTATCACTTTAATTTAAGACCCTCAACTTAGCACACACCGATACTGGCAGAATGTACATTTACATTGACATACAGTATATTCATCTTATATTTCAGCCGATTAGAGGGGGTGTTGAGGTTCACACTGTTCTTGGTCAATTTATCCCTTCCATGCATCTAGACACCATCTGTGGTCACCTTCGCCATAACCTTGAGAGAGGACAGACCAGAACAACAGTTTAGTTTAGGGCATTTCATGATTAGTTATTTACTGTATGACAAATTATTACTACTACCTGATTCAGGAAATCCAGGCAAATTATTTACTGTATGACACATTATTACTACTACCAATATTCTTAATACAGATTTCTAAAGCAAATGTCAAAGAGAATAACAACACAATTGGCTTATACTCCCCTATCATCTTGGCGATCTCACTGCAGAGCTACAGGTCAGGGAGTTAGAGGGTTAATC